AGAAGGGGTTTGGTCTGTGCATAGCTGCTGGGAGTGGTGGTGCATTGCTCTGCTGCCACATTGCACTGTTCCAAGTTCTTGCCATTATCAGCAAGTTGTTAGTAAATTAAACCTGAGTGATTCCCAGCAAGACTTGACCAGAGGAGCAAGTATCAGCAGTATTGTTTCAGTTGTTTGTGTTGGCTTCGTGCAGAGGAACTACTTGAGCCGTGTGCTCTGTGCTTAAGCACACAGCTGTGCTTTGTGTTGAAATTCCTGAGCCCCCGATCACCCTAACGGGAAACGTTTTTAGCTTGGAAAACTCGAGGAAGTGTGTGGGTCTACTCAGAGGTTCTGTCACTGATGTGTAATATGATAAGGATTTTGAAGAATGTAGTCTGAAGTGCACCTAAAATTCTCACTGATGTGGTGTGTATGCTTAAAGCTAGTCAAAGCCATTGATTAAATGTTTGCTTGATTGACACTAGACACAAGGGCTGGGAAAATCTGTCTATTACTGGAACAAACTGGTTATTACTGTTTTTGCTGTGATGTGTAAGAAAATAAGCAGCTTCTCAGGAGCTGTTTTTCCTCTACTCAGGTACTTGAACTGGGTGTATGCCTGGAATTAGCAGTCAGATTTCAAGATTAGTGAAGGTATGAGAAAGCCTTTCCCCTGCTTGAGATAATGTGGACAGTCCGAAGTGTGAGGGGTGAGTGCTGAGCAATCAGTGTGGCTCCATCCAAAACTTTTCCAGCCCAACTCAGCCTTGTAGGGCCTAAGTGGCTTCCACAGGGGTGGAGTCAAGTTGATTTCATTATACTGCCTTTCTCAGTGCTTCACCTCAAGAAAAAACATCCTCCTCAGTGTCAGCAGGGCAAGAGCAGATGGAGCTTGGATTGCTGAGCAATGAGACGGGTGGTGCAGGAGTACCTGATGCTGTGGCAGTTCTCAGTGTGTGTGGAACCAGCTCGTGGAAATACTGGAGATGCTGCTGAGCTGACATTGCAGCACTTCTAGCATGAAACCAGTTTGGGGCTCTACTTCTGAGGCACTGTTATTCTGTATTACTCATACAGGCAGAACCCTGATAACCAAGCAGATTGGAAATGCACCTGAGTGCAAATTGAATGTACAGCTGCCTTCTAGGTCTTTCTCTGCTGAATCCAGGCTGTGGGCTGCCACTTGGCCATCCTTGAACTGCAGTTCCTTGTAGCTAAATTCCTGTGTTACTATAGTGGGATAAATTTAGCTTGTTTTGCCATCTTGTCTTGGCTCATTCCTGAAGTTCTGCACATGATATTACATTGCTTCTTGGTTGTCAATACCAAAATGCCCAAAAAACCATGTTCTACTCAGTTTAGTAATGTTGCAGCAAAACTTTGGTTGAGATTCCTGGAGATAGACAGTTGGAGAACCAGAGGATTTGGTTTAAAGTTGTTTTATTTTTTCTTTCATGTCTTCATTCAGTCACGTTTCTTAGGAAGTGTATCCAAACCAATAATTTGCCATCTTTCACTTTGTGTCTCATGAATTTGGAAGAACAACAAGAACTATTCTTCACCCGAAAGGCTGGAAGGGGCTGAGGACCAAAATTAGATCTTAAGTCAAAGCTTTTATTCACGGTTTCAAGTTCAGGGTAGTGGAATTTCATTGTAGGGTTATTTTGCAGCTCTTTGCTCGTGAGATATTTTGTCAAAAAGGAAGACTACTTTATGGGTTATCTCCAGGCTGGCTGTGACTGGGGTGTGTGCCCAAGTGGTCACATTTGGTCTGTCTTTGATGTAGAGACTGTAGAAAAAGGATGCTTTAGGCCAAAGACAGGGCTAGTCTCAACAAACAGCACAGAGTTCACAAAGGCAGTTCCCACCAGATTTCCACAGTGGAGCTCCTAAGGCAGCTCAAGAGAGCAGCCAGTGACACAACAGAGGACCAAACTCAAGTTTCCCAGGCGCCTTTTGTGTAGCCTGTCGGGCCTCATGCTTGGCCAGATGTGAGGGTCGTTGAAATGGGGAATTTTGTCCAAAAAGGAACATGTGTAAAGCTGCTTCATCCTGTAGGAACTCCTGTCCTTGTTGAAGGGTGGGAATTGTTACATCACCTTCTCCTCCATTTGGAGGTTAATTGTATGTTCTTGTATTTAAATGTGAAAGTATGTTTGACCAGCTGTGGATTGAAAGAAAATATTCAGTCCCTGAATGTCTTTGCATCATTTGGGAGCAATTTAATGACAGAAAAAAGACAACTCTCTGGGTTCTTTGGTTTGCTACTGGACTTGTGTGAGATTGTGACACATGAACTCACATTTTTTCTCTTGCCTTTTCCAGCATGCTGAAGGCAGCACAACCCTTTTAAAAAAACCCTCAAATTAGTAATTGAGTAGCAAAATAACTCAAAATATTCTAATGAAGAATAATACAACAAAATCAGAGAAGAATAAGTTCTTGTGAAATAAATTTGTGTTTAGCCAACAAAAACCTTGTGTCAATTAGAAAGTGTGTGTTTCAAAACTTGACATGTAGTGGTGTTGGTTCAGCGTACTAGAATATGATTTTAATAATGTAGCATTTGATGATGTAGGGTTGAGATGTGGATTTTGGAATTTTGTTTGTCTCTCTCCTGGGAGCGTGGAGGGTGGGTAGGAGTTGGGTGCAGAGAGGAGACACTCTGCTCCATCCTGGGATGGAGAACAGCCGTTGTGTCTGATGACTGTGGAGGAAAAGGAATGTGCAGATTCTGTCAGATGAGCAGGGCTTGTTTTTAAATATCACAACCAAAGATAAGTGTTACGAAAATAACTCATTTACTGATAATTTTACCGACTTTGAGGTTGAAAATTTGGTGAAAAATAGACTTATCTGGGTAGTGTAGCTCTTAGTACTGGTGATGGGAAAATTGATAATGCAGTTTGGGACTGACAAAGTGCTGTAGTTTTCACAGCAGGCTTTAGTGTTGTGTTGTCTTGCAATATAGTGCAGCAAAGCAGATTAAACTCTCTAGAAATGCCATCTTGATGTGTTTCCTTGTAAGCAGAGACTTCAGAAATAATGCCAGCTGAGTGTTTTTTATGTCTGTGCTTGAGTACAGACTTGTGTCAAGGAGTTGGATAGAAGGAAAAGGTAAGTCCTGGAATGTGTAGGGACTGTGTCCACTTGCAGATGAGTGCACTTGGAACATGCTTTAGCCCATGAACTTGAAAACTTCTCGCAGCTGTAGACTGAGACAGAATTAATGGCTTTGAAGCACCAGGGAGGCTGAGGATGGGGTAGAGCTTTCTCAAGTGCTTCGTGTTCCGCTGCAGGTCCTGGGTGGACCGGCGGCTGAGCCTGGAAGCTGAGGATAGGACTGTGTAGCCCGTGGGTTTATCCAGTGCACTCCACTGCCAGGGGATGTGCGTTAGGCTCGTAGGGCATTTGTTCAGTTATTTCTTGCTCTGTCCTTAAAAACTTTTAACCTTACTGCTAAAGAAAACTGCCATTGTCTGTTAGTACGACTGGAACGAAAGCTGAATAGCGAATTAGCCTTGAGCAGACTGTCAATCTGACTTTGATAGCCCATCACTTAAAAGGTCCTTTTATGTTTATGAAAAAGCATGACATCAAAGCCAGGGGAAAAAAAAAATACCAATAGTTAGGGCTTAACTTAAACTTGCATAACTTCCATGAAGAGCCCTTGTGTGAACTGTTTGTTTCTCCACTTGCATGGCTAATTAGAGTAGGTTACTATAAGTCTGAGCAGTGGCCATCAAGTTTCTTCTGCTGTTTTGGGGTAGCTTGTTTATGGTGCTTCCATATGTGGATCCCTCAAACTGGAGTGGCATAGAGCAAAGGATACTGTAGTCGCTTCTCTTGCAACCTCTAAGTAGCATGCTGGAAATGCTTGAATATAATCATTATCAGGTGAGTTGTTGTTGCAGACTTATTTTAAAACCTGTTTACTAAGAAGGTGTACAGGATGCAAGAAACCCTTTTCCTCTGGTGTCTTGGATGCTTTATTTAATTTCTTTCACAGCAATAAGTGGGGGACGTACCTGGTCACTTGGAGCAGCAAAAGTCACTTTAATGAAACTGTTTTAAAACAAAATAACTTCTCAGAGTATTACTATATTTTGGTTTGTTTTCTCTCTTCTGGTGAAAACACTAATGACCATAGAAAGGCGACAAAGAGCTTCCAAGATATGGTGGAAATTTTTCATGGGAAAAAAATTGCCTTTCTTCTCTTGCTTATTTAGAGTGCGCACCAGCAGTTCGGTGTGAGGTTTTTCATATTTTGGATATAAAAAAAATTCCAAGTACTGAAAAGCTTATCTTAAATACAAAAATAGCTGTTGCTGAGGACAGTGATTGATCTGAACTGAAACACTTCTTTTCTTGCATCTTATTTGCATGATGTGTTTATAAACAGGCTGTCTTATTTGTATATGAGTTAGGCCATATAAATAATCCTTAGGCAGAAAAATGGTGTCTTCCTGTTTTTCTAGTTTAATCAATGCATTAATTTAAAAAAACCCTAACAACCAAAACCTAAAAAAAGTCCAACGACAAACCTTTTGACCTCTCTGCTATTTGACATTGCATGAAGGACAGCAATCCCTAGTACTTGGTTTTCATTTGTAGCTATTAACAAGTAAAATGAGTCCTGCAGTACGAAGTCATTTCTCCATATTTTAGTGAAAACTGAGTGTCGCAGAGCTGAAGGTCTGAATGCAGAACTGTCTGTTCTGGACTGTCTGTATCAACTGCAAACCTGAGCGTTGGGCTTAAGTGAGAAATCTCCTCTTGTAGAAGAATAACTGGAGCTTCTTGATTTACCGACAGTAATTCAGTTTTTGAAACACCGGGTCATAAACTGATTTTTTTGCCACCAAAAAGTTAGTGAAGTGCTGTGGCTTTCCTTGGAGCTGCACGGGTTTGTACTTTGTCAAATGCTTAGCAGGTGCTTCTGTCAGAAGTGCTCAAACCCACAGCACCCGTGATGACGCTGTCAAACAATAACTCCCTCTCTTAATTGTGTCGCGCAGGTGCAGACTCACCTTGAGAATCCAACCAAGTACCACATCCAGCAGGCCCAGCGGCAGCAGGTAAAGCAGTACCTCTCTACCACTCTAGCAAATAAACATGCCAACCAAGCCCTGAGCTTGCCATGTCCAAACCAGCCCGGGGATCACGTCATGCCGCCTGGAACTGGAAGCAGCGCTCCCAACAGCCCGATGGCAATGCTCACCCTCAACTCCAACTGTGAGAAAGAGGTAATACGCTCTCCCTGTTCACGTCCTTCAGTAAAATGGAGTTGCAGTCTGCTTTAATTAAGTTGTTTTAAACCATATTTGCTCGTTGTTAAGAAGGTTGTGTTTATCTCCTCTGAACCTCGTTGTGAAAATGTAACTGCTCCCTCTGTGTCTGCCTGATTAGTGGATAGGTGCATAGAACATTTTGGTGAAACAACTGTATCTCTCAAACTTCCTCCTTTTTGAGCTGTAGTAGCTAGTTGATACTTATTAAAACTACTTTTCTTTCCCCCCACCCTGTTGCTTGATGCAACAGTGAATAATTGACCTTTGGAGAACACAAAGCAGCTTTGTAAGCTGTAGCTTTCTGGAATAATGTTATTTATGGCTCATTCTTGTAGAAAGAGCAAAGAGCATAGCAAAAATAACTGAAAAAAATGCAAAGCTTTTTTGAAATATTTTAGGTATTTTTACAGTAAAATTTGTGCAAGTCTCCTGTGTAGCTGGAAGGCCAGATTATCCCAGCTAATATACCCTAAAATGTTACTGGTTGCTGTTTCAGTGCTGCAAATATAAGAGTTCACTAGCCTATGCCTAGTAGTCCTTTGCAACCTTGTCTTAATCTTTTCTGGCATAAACTTAATTAGATGTTGCATGTATGCTCAGGCACCAAAGGAAGATGACTGGGAAGATATTAACAAATATAAGAGTCATGTCAATATTTTGTAAAATGTAAAATTGGAGACAATTGTGGAGCTGCTTATGTCCTCTCATCCTCCCCTCGAGCCTTTGTGCCAGATTTTTACTGCAGATGCACTCTGTGAGGAGAATACTACACATCTTTGAGAAACAGTTATTACAGAACATATTTTGCACATGCAAGAGTAATACTTGTGCTCCACAGTTTCAAAAGAAATGAAAATCAGATATTTCCATCCTATTGTCCCAGTGGCACCCAAATATTTTTTTCTCCAAGGTATTTACAGCTTCACTTTGCTGTGTCATCAGGAACATGTGTGCATGACACTATTTCGATCGTGCTCTTTTTGGGACTGAGACTGTGCCATGAACTCAGATCCATGCTTTGCTTTTTCTTCCTCTTTTTTTTTTTTTCTTCCTTTTCTTTTCTTTTTTTTTTTTTTCCTTTTTATTTCTGCAGGGATTTTATAAATTTGAAGAGCAAAGCAGGGTTGAGAGTGAGTGCCCGGCTCTGAATACACACTCACGAGCATCATGCATGCAGGTACTGGATGACACAGGAGGTGGAGCACAGGTCCCCTTTCTGATGAGCATGTTTCTATGATGATGTGTTGACAAATAAACTTGCCCTATAGTGTCTTTAAGAAATTGAATATTAAGTGTATTTAAGGTACAAAACAGCAGTGTTGTTTTCCAAAACTGCATGGATGTGTTCTTGCCCTGATAGCTTCTGACTCCACAGTTCTATGCAGATCAAACTTGCATTTTGAAAAATTATATGAGAAGGCTGTGGTAATTCATCCTCAGTAATCACTCTTTTATATTTTTTTTAATTTTTTTTTTAAACTAAATTTTTTTTTATTCCTTCCCAGAAACACTAACAAGACTTTAGGTATGGGCCGTAACTCTTAATTCCTTTCTTGCCCTCACTTCCAGTCAGTGTAATTTGTTCTGATCACACTTTCCGAAGCCGATGCAAAAATCCCATATACTACTATTTCTGCCATCATTATTATGCATTGATTTTCTAGATCTTTGTTATTTAAGCTCTTTTTTTATAATGAGCAAAAAGGAAATAGTCAGTCCTGCAGGACTGTTGGAAGCACCTGGGTGGGTGCTTCGGAGGGGTGTTTTTCCTGACCATCTAGGAGCTTACAGAGGAACATTCCAGCCCAGCCCGAAATAAAATATATCTTGTACCACCTAAAATCATCTCTGAGCTGCCCTTGGGTGGTGCTCCCTGGGAGGGTGTATGGGGGATGTGAATCCAATGGATTCTGCTGTCAGTGGTGGGCAGACTGTCACCCCACAAGCAGCAGGTCTTTGCTCCCTTTCCTTCCCTGCAGGTGTCAGGGGCTCAGTGTTCCTGTCTGTGGGCAGGTTTTGGTCCCACAGAGGGAAGAGGTGCAGGGTGGGCGGGCAGTGCTGCTGAGGGGAGAGGGAGTCATGTCATCAGCACTGCTCCTTCTACGGGCAGCTTCCTCCTCTGCTGTTCCTGGGAAGGAGCAGCATGTCCGTGGGCAGGTAGTGCAGGGTGGCTGCTGGTGGGAGGAGTGGGTTAGACCATGAAGCCTCAGCTTTGCCATGACCTGAGTGTCCTGGCTGGATGGCAGGAGTTATTTCTGAGGGATTGCAGAACTGCGCCGGCACCTTGGGCTCGTGCTGCAGAGCCCTGTGTGGCTGAAGGGCTTTGCCAGGCCTCTGCATCCTGGTGATTTTGATGACCGGTCTGCTTTTCTTTGTCCACCTTTTCTGCTGCAGATGGATGATGTGATCGATGACATAATTAGTCTGGAGTCAAGTTACAATGAAGAAATCCTCGGCTTGGTGGACCCAGCCCTGCAAATGGCAAACACGGTACAACGGTCCTTTCCTTCCGGTTTCCCTGTTAAGTCTGATCATCTTTCCTTGAGAGAAAGCAGAACTGCAGCATGGCTATATTTCCTTGCAATTAAGTGGTTATTGCATTGTTCTGTAGAGTGTAATTGATTTTACCTTTGAAGAGCTCAAGGTGTTCAGTTGGCAGTGAAAAACACTAATTTAAAAACACAGGTTGAGGGAATACAATTTTACTTTTCTTATTTCCAAGTCATGTTAGTGAGAGGATTACAGCAGAGGAGTAAACTGTGCCACCATGAGCAGCTCATTCCCATTGATGTTAAAGATTGCCATGGACTTTATACTTGTCTTCAGAAAAGAAGGAACCTCTGGCATCCCAGGTTCCTGTATCTTGTCATATTCAAGTAAGAAATGGTGTGCTATATGTTGGCATCCCTGTCCAGAGATACTCTAGTTTAACAGTTATCTCTGACATCACAGCTTTATCTCAGCCTGATATCAGTTGGAGAGGAGTCCCCAGCTAGACGACAGCAAAGGTGTTACAGAATTTAGGAGGGTGTTATATTTTAGGGGAGTTATAAAACACAGTCTTAAACAAAAAAGGAAGGAATAAAGGAAATTAAAAACCAAACAAGTCTGGGCACATGGGAAGCCCATGACAAAAGTCAAGAACTCAGTGGTGGGGACGGTTCTGAGCAAGGCAAGGCACAGGTTACCTCCGAGTGGCTGTTTCAGTTTGGTTCATGTTGCTTTGAGAATTAATATAATCATATTTCTGGCATAATCTGGTTTTGATCTTCTGTGGAGGGCAGCTCCAGTGAATTTTTTGCCTTAGGCTTAAGTGCTGTTAGATCTGGCCGAGTAGATGTCTGCCAGTGCTGGCGTCTGTTTCTTTTTTATCTGGTGCCAAAATTTACAGCTTACTACATAGCATTGATTTTGTAGCCCAGGTTTACATTTGCTGACAGTAGTCGTCTGATGTCATGTTAACCTAGTCCTGTGCTCCCACAGATTCCCACAGCCCTCTCAGACGTGGTGCATGACGCAGGAAGCGGCCCACCAGCTTCCCTCTCTAAATAGTGCCCTTTGAGTACATGGAGAAATAGCTGCAGAGTCCTGCCAGAAAGAATAAATTTTCCTTTAGTCTAAGATTCAAAGTGCAGCTGTCCTGGAATTTGAGAGTAAAACTCTATGAACTGCAAAAAAGATAGCTCTCAAGACACTTCATCTACTTTTTTATACTTTTTTTTTTTTTTAAATTGAGGGATGAGGTTCTTCTGGAGTCTTTGCTCTGAAGTTCCTTTGGAGTGAGACCTGTTAAATTAGAAGGGACCTGTATATCTTTGTGCTTTTCTTCCTTTCTCATTTCACAGGGACTCCAGCAGTGGCTCTGCTTCCAGGCAGGGACAGAATGGTACTCTGCACTCTTGTGGTGCAAGGAGTCCCTGTAGTCAATGTTCAGAGTAATCTGCATCCCTCCTGCTTGCTGCGTGACAAGAAGCCTTGTAAAGGCTACCCAATCCACATATACATATTAGCCCACTCTGTGTGGTGAAGTCTAGAAAATAAGGATACAAAACAGTAGAATTAATATTTCTTTACTAATACATTTAAATTGCTGCAGAAAAAAAAAAAGCGTTTTTCAGTCTCTGATTTAAATTGATACCAGTCCTGAAGAGATGAGAATTGCCCCATGTTTCTCAACAATTGGCTTGGGGAAAAAAATGAACCTGATGTAATGAACCTGATGGGGGGCAGGATTTAGCTCATAAAAACACACAACATTTTACTAATAAGGAATTAATGTCTATAGACTGAGCTAAGTAGAGGTGGGAGAAATTAAGAGAGGAAATGGTCTCTAAAGAGGCACAACCTATAAATAGCTGTGCTGAGGCTCTGACAAAGGCAGCTGTTGTTCCATAACCAACAAAGAACAAAAGGACCAGTTTGTTACAGTTGGTAACAGTACTTAATTGATAAGCAAAATTGGAGATTTCTGTGCAGAGCAAGCTAAGGGAAGTTTCCAAGTACCTTGAACTGAAAATGGCTCATTGCAGTCAACTGCTTGTGGAAGTGTTTGTAAACTTGGGGACTGGGCCACCAGTTAACTGGCATTGCTTCTGTGGTGGAAAGTGCCACAAAATGGTCTGTAGTTTGTAGAGAGGGTTTTCTTTGTAGAATTGAATTGCTCAGTCCTGTGTAAAGTACTCTTGCATGCCAAGTGGAGATGACAACTAATTCATCCAACTAATCAATTCTAGCCAGAACCTGACGTGGAAAGCTTTGTGTGGGCAGCCCCACTTTTAAATGTGGCTTTCCCATGGAATTAAACTCCAGAAGTAGAGAGGAGTTTTATTTCAGGGACTGCTGCTGAGCGTGTGCTTGTAGGTAAGGGAACAACACAATACACTGTAGGCTGCACGAGCTGGGGAACAGGATCCATTCCAGTGTGAACTGATACCTCAGGAGCAGCCTTGTTGATCGCACAGCTGATGTCTCAGGGATTTTGGACAGAATGTGGGTGCTTGTTTTGTTGGAGTAGTGGAGGAGAAATGAAAGCCTGAGACTGCCATGAATGTACACTCTGATGAATCTGCAGTCATGATTACCATATTTGAAGTTTCTGTTACATAAAAGCTGTCATTTAAAAAAAGAAAAAAACAAAACCAGATGCGAAGCGATAGGAAGGTTGAAATTTGTTTTACTTGGTGTGTTTGTGCAACTTGGTAAAGCCAAGGGCTTAAAATATGATATCTCAAAAATTAAGGCCTTTTAGACCATACTATTTCAATGAAGATAACATTCTAAGCCTGGCATAAACCATTCTTCCTTCATTTACCTTTTGGAAGAGTAAAGGTGGATGATCTGACTGATGCTGCACTTAAATTTCTATTTAACCAGAAGTAGCTAAGAAAAGCCTTAAGGAAAATCATATTTAGGTTGGAAACATGATAGAATTTAGAGAAGACAGGGAAGGAGCCTCCTTAGCTCCAGAAAATTCCATGTCTTTCTCAAAGAGATTTCATCTTCATTATGAAATGGCGATGGAAATTTTGAGATTTTCCCATCTCCTTTTACTTGGGGATAGTGATGAAAGGCTTGACTGTCTTGGGGCTGAAAAGATTGCAAACAATGTGTAATTTTTTTCAGTTTCTTTCATGAAGAAGAATTTGAAATCAATGCCAGGTGTCACTGCAAGGGCATTTACCCCCTCTTGGTGGTTTTTTTTTGCCTTGTTTCAGCCCAGTGGCTGCTTTTGTGTGTTTACAGCACTACTGACTTGTCCATCTCAAATCAGTGCCCTCAGCATGGGGTTCCTCTCCTCTTTCCAGTTCCCTAAACTTTGCACTAATGATTATTGGTTTTATCTTAGTCAACTGATTTTATTCCTCTGGGAACTGTTTTATAATTGTGAACAGAGGATGGACCTCGATTTTGACTTACCTTCAACTGCTGGTATTTTATACGAGGTGACCCAGAGTGTTGCGTGCACTTTGTTTTCACATGAAAGTAATAATATAAGTTAGTCCCTAAGATGTGACTTGTGGGATCCTGGAAAAGAGGCCTCTCAGAGGGTCATAGTCTGTGTGGACTGTGCCTGTAGGAAGATGTCACAGCTGAAGCTTTGGAGTTCAGATGCTGGGAAAGTCAAAGAAAGAAGCTGATCAGTCTCTTTGCTTATGGATCACTGATTTAGATGGACACTGTTGGCATTTTTTTTTTTCCTCTAAATTCCCTGAACTTCCTAATTAGATTTCACATGTCTGGTTATGAACTTCAAGTCCTTGGGCTACAAACAAGGTCTTTGTGCTCTCCCCATGCTTAGGAGCATGAATAGAACGAGCACATCCAAGTCAGAAGGGTGTGTGACGCTATCGCTGTGACGGTGTCATGGATGCATTTGGGGGCCCAAAGAGACAAGGGTCAGCCTTGTAGAGGGCAGTGAGTGTTTCACCCTGACACTGATGTGGGTAGGGTAGGTCACAACTGGGACAGCTGTGACCTGAGCAGCATTATTAGAATTTCCTTTCTTTTTTATTTTCTTTTTTTAATGCATTAGAGAACTAAGGGCAGGGCGAGGAATTGTAACACTGAATCTTAGTGAGAATTCAGTTACATTTTTTCCTCTGTCACATAGAGATTGAATTAGGGGACTTTGGTTTTGTTGTTGGCCACTGTCTGTTCAGTAAATTTGTCAGCATGGCCTCTAGCTGGTGGTACTTTACATATCAACTTCTGTTTATCTGCTTCCACATGGCAAAGAAATTTTCTTAAGTCTCAGTCTGGCAAGGACCATCAGTAGGAGTTTAATAGTCCAGGCTGTGACTCACTGCATTGTATTCAACAGCATTATTTACATGGTGTAAAGTTAATACTTACTCTAATCTCTGCAGGATCAGTGTCTTGGGGGGATTGGTTTTCTTTACACCAGTGATGATAAGAATTCTTGCCATTCGGATAAGATATCAAAGTGTTTTATACTTGTTTTTTCAAAACCAAACAAGAGATGGGTAAAATAGTCCACCCAGGATAAATGTAAGCTTCTTTAAATGTATTTAAATTTAAAGGGATAGCTTTGGTAGGTCTTGTTGGAATACTGTATAAGTCTGCTTGCTTAAACATACCTAAATAAGCATTGCAGAGTGAACAAGTAATTGGGGAAACTTAATATAAAAATAATCTTCCTCCTACTGGTGCATGTTCTTGTTATGTAAGGCAAAAAACAAAATAAACCGAAATGTTTTCTGTGTAGGTAGCTTTCAAATCACATGAAAAATGTGATTAATTAATACAGTGTTCTTCCTCAAGCATGTGACAACTTGCAAAGTACTTCACTCACATATCCCTGGAAAAGGGGGGGCTTTCTCCCAGAGAGCTCTTAGGCTCTTTCAGTTGTGAGAGAAGTGTTGGGGGTACAGATGGAATAGCTTTAAGTGAAAAATAAGGAGCCACAATTAATATCATCAGGATTTTACCTCTTCTGCATATCTTCCGTCTGCATATTTTTGAGGAGATGTTTTATTCCTCATCCCTGTGCATATCTGACCTTCTTGCACGCTCTGTTTGCACATGGAAAAGAGCACAGATTTCTCAGCAGATCCTGACTCTGTTCTTCTGTACAAAGGCATTCATAAGGGCAAACCAAGTGATCCTTTTCCTTGTTTATCTTTTGCAGTTGCCTGTGTCTGGCAATTTGATTGACCTTTATGGCAACCAAAGCATGCCTCCTCCAGGACTAAACATCAGCAACTCATGTCCAGCTAATCTTCCTAATATAAAAAGGGAGCTCACAGGTAAATACGTCTAAAATACCACCTTGGAGTAGTAGTATAATTGTTTTGAATTCAGGTGATATTTGACATAATTTCTGAGAAAGAATACGTGGTTGAATAGTTACTTTTTGCTTTGCAGACCAATTTTTTAGCAGATGCATTAGCCTGCCATGCAGTTGTGTTCATGTGGGCACGTGTGTGTTCACTGTCACAAATTAAGATGAAGTCCTCAGTTGTTACAGTCACACCTACTTGTTGAAAATGCATCCCAGGAAGCTTCCATGCATCTCTTCCAGAGCTGTTTTCTAGTTTGGGCTTATTGTTTGCTTTGTCAACACTAAACTTGAACAACTTCACATCGGGAGTCTCTGTGGGTTTCATGTCGAGGAATGATACCCATTAGAGGACTTACTCTAGCAGGAGAGAGCTGTAATGATCAAATAACCTGTTGTAATACAAAATCTGGACATGCAGATCCTATAAAATGTAAAATTAGGCACTGATGGGGACTGGAACTCGATCTTTAAGGTCCCTTCCTTCCCAAACCATTCTGTGATTCCATGAATATGCCTCACTAAATGAAGATGAAAATGAAGTATTCCTTTAATTTCTTGTTATGCCAGTTCCTCCAGCAGTGCTCTAAACAAGCTGTGGAGGCAGGGAGAGGAGAGGAGAACATTAAAAGCCTCTTTCTCTCAAGCACATGTGTACAGAAGTGAGATGGTTTGAAGCAAATAATAAGGAGTTTCACATACTCAAGCACAAGTTTGTCTCCAGGCTGAACTAATGGAGATCCATTCTAGGATTGATGGCAAAATCATCTTAATACCCAGAATTGGCTGTTCTTGAGCCCAGCAGGGAGTCACTGACTGTATGCAGTAGGTTTGAGGCCTGGTTTGTTTCTTGTCTCTCATCTTTCTGGGTTTCAGTTGTGAAAACTCACAGGCTGACTCAGTTGCAAAGCAGGTTCCGGGCAGGAATTAGCTTAAGTAGAGCAGTTTTAATAGTCCAGGAGTCAGCTTCTCAGGAGGAAATGCCACATCTCTGAGCCAGTGGGTATTTGCATTTATATGACTGCACAGAATTTGAGCTCAGCACCAAAAGAGGACACACAAAGTCCAAATTACAGGCAGTTTCGTTGCCCAAAGTATAGAAAGTTCAAGGAGCTTTAGAGTACAAACTGAAGACCCAACTTGGATGTGCAGGCTGGTGGATTCACTGCAGGTGGTTGTCTAAGACTTCAGGCCAGGAAAGCAGAAAGAGGAGAAATAGTGAGTAGTGCTATGGAAGTCCTCGATACATCAAAACAGAACTGAAATAAGTTATATGTCTGTATGCTACACTCACCTGTACATATAATTTAGGTGAGTGCATTTTTCTTATCAAAATACATGCTAGCTGATTCAGGAGAGGTTTAGGAATTAAATTCAAATTTAACAGCAGTCACTTTGACACTGATCTGCCCAAACCTTTGTGCACAAAGCTCTATTGATGATGCTTTCTGACAGCCAGTGATTTTAAAATCAGAATGTTATTGCAGGCAGGAGTCTGTTGGTTCTCCTTTTCCTGATTTTGTTGCTGGAGCTAGGCTGGAGAGAGTTGCAATATTTAAATCTAGCATTTGGCAGAAACTTATCTTAATCCTACTGTATAAATACCAAAACACTGAAGAACCCCCCCAAAATCCAGTCTGTTATCTCAGCATCTGATGTTGGTGATAATTGTGGGTTCTCAGCTGTAGTTACTCAAGCATTTGTTGGGAATCCAGCTCTCCCAGGAATGTGGTTTCTATCAGTTTTGGCCTCACAAACCTCATATCTGTTTAATAAGGCAGTGTCAGATTAAACCCAAATTTCATTAAGACATCCAATGATCTTTCCAGCTATTTTGGGGATCCTTGGGGAGCCTGGCATAGAAAAGGATATGTCCTGTTGTAGTGCGTGTAATATTGGGGTACCTCTGTATTCTAAGCAATGAAGTAGTAAACTTCCAGCACTCCAGGGGAAAGAAACCCTTAGCACCTGTTAGTTTGAATTGGATGGGACACAATCCATATTCATTAGAAATAAAATAATACAGGAAAGAAACTTGTTGGAGGCAGTGAGGGGTTGTTTCCATAATGGAATGTGTGATAATACATGACAGACTCATTCCTCCTCTCTGACTTACTGTGAAACTGCATAGTGCCTTGCTGGTTTGGGGATTTAAATGCAACAGGGCAAGGATTAATGATCTCACCTTTAAAAAAAAAAAAAGTAGTAGAGCAAACATGAAAATACTTAAAATTGCTTGAGAAACGTAAGATCAAGTGAGGACTGTAAATAACAGATTTAGTTATGTTCTTGCCCAAACTGTTGCAAGCTGAAGTGAATAATTATATGATACAGAATATGATAGCAATAGTAATATAATAATAAATAATAATAAATGTGTGGAGTAAGGTCAAGAGCAAGTCCTGAGCTGAGGAGACAAATTCTGTGCGGCACAGCCATCATTAGTTTTCTTTTTGCTTTTCCTGAAGCGAAACCCTTTGTTTTCCAGCTTTGTTGCTAAGGAGGCTGTTGAAGTTTTCAAATTTTTTTTTTTTCCTATATAATAGGAACAGTTAGTGCAGCTGGAAAATAACAGTCACAGTGGGTCACTTAAGTTATCCCTTTAGTGCTGTGGTGATGTGTGTGCACGTGCCACAGGAGGCCATATCCTTAATTCCAGCGAGCAGAGGCTCTGACTCCTGCCTGCTTCACGTCCTGCGCTGGTGGCAATGCCCTAAGCATGCTGTTCCTCTGGTTCAGCTCCCGTGGGACACGTGTGTCAGCGCAGGAGAAGGTGTGTTGGAATTCTGCAGCTTGTTGTCCTCAGATACCTTGCTGAGTCAGGGCCTCCGTGGGAAACATTCTCGTCGTGGGAGTCAGCCTGGGAAGTGTGGGAAGAGATGCTCTGCAGGAGCAGAGGTGAAGCTCAAATACCAAGTGCTGTGTTTTGGCATTCAGGGGCCCTTCTCGCTCCTCGGAATGGGTGTAGTAATTGGTGTGACAAATACCGACCAGGCTTCCCGTGCAGATGTTTCACAGGCTGAAGCGTTGTGTTGGAGTTATTTTTAATTCTAATTGCTTCATTCACATGCACAGCATGTATTTTTCCCACAGAGTCGGAAGCAAGAGCGTTGGCTAAGGAGAGGCAAAAGAAAGACAACCACAACTTGAGTAAGTTTTGGTTCTTCGCGTTTTGCAACAATTCTAGGAGTGATTTTTGGGCATTAAGTGTTCAAATACTGATGATTTAAATCTCAGTGAGACACTGCATGTAGTATATAGTATTAGTTGTGTTATGTGTTAAATGGACTATTGAGTTTTAACTCTATTTTTTTCAATAAGCCACGTGTATGAGTGGTTGTTATCAATGGAATTGCTGTGAACAATATGTGACCCAATTGCTTTTAACAAATCCACCTTGCACCATTTGGTTTTCAAATTTTAATTTATTTGAAAAATTAGATATGTGGTCAGTTTGTGACTTTAAACAACAGTGTTCATCCTCAGAGTGGCAATTTTATAGATTTCATTCCTGAAGGGAACTCATATGTCCAGGTGGGAAAAAAAACCCACCACATTTTAAAATATGAGAGCAAAAGAAATGCTGGATTTTAAGCTTCAGGTGAACATTTCAAAGGTGCTGAAAGCAACCTTTGATGAAATACTTTGTATGTTGTAATTAGGTGTGAATATTACTTTTAACACTTGTGCTGTTTTTCCCAAAGTTGAACGAAGAAGAAGATTTAATATTAATGATCGTATAAAAGAACTGGGCACCTTGATACCCAAGTCAAATGACCCGTAAGTATAACGTGCCCAGGGGGACTGTGGGAGGGAGGGGTTGAAAGAAAATAATCCCAGTGGAGAACAAGAATTTAAAAAAAAAAATAATAAAAAAAATCCTGTTTTCTTGTTGCTCTTGACACTCTACGACTGTAGAAGTCCTTTCAGGTTCCATTATATTTTTTTTTTAGGATTGGTTTGGGGTTTATTTTTCCCCTTTAGGACCCTGCTTATGTTTATAATAATTTGATGATTTTTGTCACAAAGGTGAGGTTGGTGCTGGGAGTGACTGACGGCCTTACCAGAGGCAGAACTGTGAGGATGGGAAACCATAGTCTGGTCTCACTGCTTAGCTGGTTGCTTGTCTTGCCAAATGATTATTTTAATTAATTAGATGCCATAGCTTGACAAGACAGAAACAGTCCCTCTTTCAGTGAAAATGGAGGGCAGTTTATCTGATAATTTTATGATAATTTTACTGCTATTAGCTTGTCTTTACACTTTCCTAATGCTGATTCAGTAGCAGTGAACCCTTCTGCTCTGGAGTTTGAAAGTCTCACTTAACTCTGAATGAATGCCCCAAGTGTTGCTTCTGGGGAGAGTTTCCAGTGTTTTAAAGCAGTTGCTCATGGAGCAACTCACAGCTGCTCTGCAGGGAGGCTCTGCAGCTTCCTCAAAGGCCAGAAGACCAATATTGCTCAGTACCAACCTGCAGGACAGGTGGATCTCTGCTGATAATCTGTAGACTGTTTATTTAAAGGAAGTAAGATGATGCGAGGAGAAGGTGATGCAGCAGCCTCTCCCTCTGAAGTGAGAGTGCTTCCCAAGAGCAGCACTCCGGCCCCCTCTAGTGCATTTCCAGTGCCTTCTGGATCCATGAACTTGGAATAAATATTAGCTGGGTGTTCCATCTGTATGAGGTGTAATCATAGGTGTGGATGTAAAGGGAACAGCTCTGAAGTAAAGCCTCCCTGAGAGCCTTCACTTTTCCTTTTGTGTTGATTCCAAAGGGATATGCGCTGGAATAAGGGAACGATCCTAAAAGCCTCGGTGGATTACATCCGTAAGCTGCAGAGGGAACAGCAGCGCACGAAGGAGCTGGAGAACAGACAGAAGAAGCTGGAACATGCCAACAGGCACCTGCTGCTCAGAATACAGGTTTGCTGATAAACAAGCTGCAAGTGCCCTTCGTGTTTGCAGCGTGTGACTGCAGCTTGTTTGTAGGGGTGTGGGTTGGAAGGAACCAGCATTGAAATTAACAGTGACCAGTGCTGAGATGAGTGCACAGATTTTTCCAGAAAAAGCCAAGGATACATCAGTTTAAAGAGGGAAAAAAAAAGGCATCCTAGCACTCTAGTAAAAGCACTTATGTCTGGTAGTCTGGTTTTGTTCTGCTATGGCCAATGTTAGTTGCAAACCCTGCCATTAAAAAGATTTATATGGTGATACATTTTTCTGGGTGCCAGGCCTAAAGAATTGGGACTTCATAAATCCCCTATTTGTTGATATTCATGAAATTCAGTTTGGCTGTTTGGGAGTCTCCCCTGTTCCTTGATGTCTGTAGGGCTGTACAACAGTTCTCCTCAGCACTGAAAACCAGTAGGTGGCATGAATAAGTTTTCTCTGTGGGTTGTTGCCTTGTTAGATTCACCCAGATTTCCAGTGTTCTGAACTACACAGAGATTTAAGGGTGAGAACTCCATTTCTGTAATTAATTCCTTTGCCTTCACCTCAAGCTGGATGGGCAGCCTTAACTTGCAGCCTACACAACTTTTATTGTCAGCTCTGTTCTCCAGGTGGGCAAAGACAGCTGGATATCCACCCCTCCCTGAACAAGGGTAATTAGAGTATCTAGAATTGGGTGTAAGAACACATGACATAGAGACAGTGATATCCCAGATATCCCCCTGTTGCTGCTCACAGCTGAGCTCTGCATGGAGCTGCAGTGTGCCAGGAGACCCCTGAACCACGGCCCAGCTAATCCACCAAGGAGATAATGAAGCTACAAATACCTGGGAGTCAAATGTGGAAGTAAACAGCTTTAAAATAGAACTGGCTGGGTTGAGCTTCAGTGCAGTTTTTGTACTTGGTTGAGCAATCTGCTTGTTAGGGTGAGGTGATAAAAACACACAACCCTTCTGCAGAGCAACATCAACCAGTGGTGTTTCAAAGCTGAGATCACTTTTTAAACATCTTTCATCTTCCTTTGCATTATTATCCGTTTGCTCTGGCTCCTTCAATCAAAATAATATAAGACCCAGACCCCTGAATAACAGGCAATACATCTGGCAGCAAATGTGTATTTTCCCTTTTTGTGTCAATTCTGATTAAGCACAGAATAAGGAACTCCTAATTTTGGCACATTAGCTGATGAAAGAAGTGCTTTCTCATTCCACCTTCCCTCTTGATCTTGCAGTGTGCCATTGCAAGCTTGTTGTCTTAGCTTGAAAATGGGGAAAAAGGCTATTAATCAACTTCAGTGACAGGAGTATCCAGAAACAGCACAATCACAACAGTGATTGTGATTGTCTAATATAATGCATAAGTAGAAGCAAAACATCTCTTTTACTGATGTATTTGTGAAAGGGCATTTAAGTGAATTCTTCTGCTACCTGTTTTCAGTTGAGTGCATCTGGATGATTAAATGTGAAGATGGGATTTTAACTTTCCAGGGAGATTTGAAGAATCCTGGCTGTGTGTGCAGTCTAAGGCCTTCCTGTGACTTGCTTGTGATATTTCAGTGCAGAAATAGTGCTGCTCAGTTCTGGTTGATCTCTTCCAGCTCTGCTAGACTTGTAGAATTGGAAATGTCCCTTCCAGTGTCTCAGCAGGAATTGACAAGTATCCTACAGACCTGCTATGCCTTCACATATGATTTTATAAAATTACTAACCATATGCTTCTGCTATTTCATTTTTCCCTATTTTTAAATGTTTTCCTCACTGTACCACACTTGCCTATCCTGGCACTGGTTTGAGAAAGAGGCCTGAGGGGAAACATGTCTGTGCTACAGGGCACTGGGTTTTGGCTCTGGTGTAGGTTCTGAGGAGGAGTGTGAACGACCTGTGAGGGGTGGTGTTCACCCACCTCTTCAAGAGACTGGTGTTCAGGTGCAAATTTGCAAGGCTGGAGTGTGCAAAGGTCACTAAGGGAGAGGGAGGAAATGTGTACAGGAGAAGGAAACTCTTAAGTTGCAAGGCGAGTGTAAGGTGACAGATTTTCCTTTCAGATTTTCTTTTAATTTCTCCCTTGTCCTCCTTCACAGGAACTTGAGATGCAAGCTCGGGCACACGGACTGTCCCTTGTTCCATCTACAGGCCTTTGCTCCCCTGACATGGTCAACAGGGTCATCAAACAGGAGCCTGTGCTGGACAACTGCACCCAAGACATGATGCCACACCACACAGACCTGTCCTGCACCACCACGCTCGACCTCACCGACGGCACCATCACCTTCAGTGACAACCTCGGAAACGTGACTGAACCAGCTGGCACTTACAGTGTTCCTGCAAAAATGGGATCCAAACTGGAAGATATCTTGATGGACGATACCCTCTCCCCCGTTGGAGTAACTGACCCACTACTTTCCTCCGTGTCTCCTGGGGCGTCGAAGACGAGTAGCAGGCGGAGCAGCGTGAGCATGGAGGACACTGATCATGCTTGTTAGCATATACTTGGCACACCTTTCATAAACTGCTTTGGTTCTTGATCAGTAGATTAAATAATTTACCTTTTGTAGAATTTTTTTGATTTTTTTTTTCCCCCTTTGTGCTTCATCAGTGTGTGTGCGTGTGTGTACATATTATATATATAGGATTTTTTTTAGAATTTTTGTGAAGAAACTTGTATATTCTATTTTAAAACTACCAATGCCTCCAAAATATTGTACAGCATATGTACAGTATCTGTGAACTGGATTCGCCAAGAACTTTGAACTGGTCAAATCTACTCAAAGCAATAGAATTACAGATGAAGAGTCTGTTTCTACTCGGGGCAGGGGGGAGGGAGGGGGCAATCGTAGGATTGTAAATGCAACATATTTACCTGGAAACAAAATGTAAAGTTAAAGAATGTAAAGAAACCAAAAAAAAAAAAAAAAGGTCCAATTTGTAATTGTATTAATTGAATAGTGCTGCCTTAAAAAAGATACAGTGTCCCTCAAATGTTGGTCTTACATGACAAGTGTTTAGGGAAAATACCCACCCTATTCCACTCAGAATACAAACTAAAACCAAGTGTTAAGACAACCTGATTGTGTTGATTGTGATATAAAATGCTGTTGCTGAAACTGCAGGGAGATGTGAGTGTCTCAGAGTGTTGTTTAATTTTACTCTGAGCTGTTTTGGGTTTTCCTTTTGATCACGGTTCGAGTTTTTCCTCTTAAATTTTTATTTTGTTTCGTGACACACATTGGTGGCTTTGCCAACAACAAACCAAGCAGGAGCACTGTAAGTTGGAATACACTCTTTGGACAAAAAAAAAAAAAGTCATTTTATCAGCTGGGCACATTATGTTGTACATATCTAATTGGCTTTATTTTTTTTTTTTTTTTTTTTAGATTGCATTGTACAGTTTCTTTTGATTTGCATGGATTCCTTAGTTATCCTCAACTTTTTGTTTTAAATTTATTTGTATTTCATTTGTAAGATTTTTGCCTCTTAATATTGCAACGATTTTTTGACATTTTTAAAACTCATTGGAAGTTTTCTGCGTTCTTTGTAAACACTTGAAAGGAAGCTTTCATGCAGGGTTCTGTGTTTTCAGAGAGATTTCAAGAATATTTTGTATATTACAGTCTCACTTTGAAAATGTTTTTAAACGCATTTAAGGTAGAGTAAAAATTTAGATTAGGTAATAAAACAACTCTGTAGAGAAACTGAACTTACATATTTATTTTTAGTGATACTGAAAAAAAAAAAGTAGTAATATGCTTGGAAACATAACTATGTAGTTAATATACCCGTTAGAGCAATTTGTGTTCTATTTCAGCACTGGGGCTGACATAAGGAAAAAAAGAAAAAAAAAAAACAACAAAAAAAAGAGTAAATTACTGTATCTGCAAATAACTGTTACTTGATAACAATGTTATTAATTTTTAACATGCAACCATGTTGTAAAAGTAGTTCAGTGCATTATCTACTCAAGTGTAGTCCTATGCAATAACGGTAGTTTTCCTTGTATTATATCCAGCCTGGGTGTTTCCCGGAGGTGACGTGTGGTGTTCCGAGCTGGACGGAGGGAATGGATTTCTCCATGGCAGCCTACAGCTGACCCGCAGGCGTAGCTCGTTCAGAATGAAGTGCCTTAAACTCTAGTTGTAGTCTTCCTCGACTAGCACTGACTGAAGTGTGGCGTAGGAGAGAGCTTTGGGGTGGTGGTTTGTAGGGTGTTGAGGTGCAGCATGGTGCCCACGTGTAGAAAGCAAGAGCTGCCCGTTCTCCTTTGTGCTACACTGGAAGTGCCATGGGATGAGTGCGACGGTGAGTGACTTGAGTGCCAGCCTGGCAGGCGTTCCCAGGAAACCTGGGGCTCGGCAGTTAGTGCTCAGAAACCAAATGTGAATTGGGGTGGCGATGGGGCAGCTGGGGATGGTGCCGGGAGTCCAACCCAAATGCTTCTCCACAGGAGAGTTCCCGGTGTCCCTGCCTGGCACCACCCGGTGCGGGTGGCGGGGACACAGCTGCGGTTACGGTACTCCAGGGTCTGTGTGTTGCTCTTTCTGTGGCTGTGCTGGTTGTGTCCAGCCCTCTCCCTTCCTGCTTGAGCCACCAGCTGTGTGTTAGCATTGGTGCAACCACCGGGTTGTGGCTTCTTTCTTTCCTTTGTAGTTTTTGAAGGAGGAGCTGGAGTTAGATTATAGTGATGCCTCTCCCCCTCCCCGCTGGCCCCAGACAGCTTTTGGGAATGTGTCTTTCCTAGGGTAGAGAAGCTCTGGTCCAGGCAGGACCCAGGAGCCTGCAGGATGCACTGCAGCCAGCGTGGTCCTCAGGCAGGGAGATGCTCCCAGTCCCTGCAAGGCAGCTGTGCCATAGTCAGGTCTGAGTCGAGTGTGGGGGTACAGGCTGTTGGTGCTGCTGTTTGGTTGGGGTGACAGGTAAGAAAATCAGGGCTGTAAAAAGTGCTTGTAGCTGTAACACAGACCTGCATTAATTACCCTTTCCCATGAAAATGGGACAGCTCTGCAGCGTTGGTACAACAAATCAGGGTGTGCACGCTGGAGTGTAGTAACTGAGAACCACTGAGTATATTGAATAAGGATTTTGGTTTGGTGCCTGTGCTGGGCATTCAGAAATTCAAGTCCAGACTGTGGTATATGAATATTTTTCAAGCTTATGTGAAACCACTGGTACTCGTTGACAGCCATGACTTCTAATTCTTAGCTGTGTCTGTGAGGAGGTGAGTTAGGATTCAAGGCAAACCACTGCATCAAGAGCTGGATTCCTGGCTAGCAGTCACTGTGGCTGCAGCAGCTCTGTTGTGTGCTCCCTGTACCCTGTGTTGTTCTGGGGTAACATGCAACTCTGCTGTGCCCTGCTCACCCTTCTCCCTGTGTTTCCTTAGGCCACAGCCCTGCTCTGAGTCTGCCCACCCTTTGGATGGTGACACTGCAGGGGAGACACCTCTGGCAGGCACAGACCCCCAGGTGGGGGCCAACGGGGGTCTCTTTGCCCGTTTGGGCATCGTGGAGCGTGTGGGCTGTGAGGGTTTGCAGGGTGGCAGTGGCAGAGGACAGAGACAGCGGCTCCAGGCAGGGTGTGGCATGGACGAGGTGGAGTGAGATGGACAGAAGTTGTTGCCCGGCCTGGGGACGGTGACTCGTGTGACGCTGGGCAGCGGTGGCTTCCCTGAGCAGGTGGGTGGGGAACGACCAATTCTCACTTTGCCAAAGCCGTGCAACAGGCAGGGATGTGCAGAGTACCATGAAGTTCTTCCTTACTGCTTTTGGCCTATAAAGCAATATTTAACTCTTACAACCTGTAAAGCAAAAAGAAGGTACATAAGGAAAGCACAAAGCACAAAATAATGCACTTACATTTATGTTGTTTGACATAAAATGCACTGGGGGGGGAGCTGATGTTGATAATAGTATAAATACCTATATTTCTTGAAAAAGTGACATTAATTACTGCCTCTTGCTATGATGCTTGGTACTGTAATGTTGATATTCATCTGCTGTTGACTGCAGCAATAATTTGTGTATGGTCCATAGCACTGTAAATTATGGATCAATTATTAATGTATCCAATGAAATAATTTGAACTGTTGTTCTTGATAGATGGATTAAAGCATTTGGTTTTTCACATATGTCTGTGTAAATCACTCGTTTTCCATGTGGGTGGATCTTGTTTTCCTGTGTTTTTGAAGTCCCTGCAGTGCTCCTGTGTCTGATGGATGTATCAGTGTCCCTGACCTGGTGTTGGTTGGCATCTCGGCTTGCACCACAGCTGTCCAGTTGTGTTTGTATGGTGGTAGCAAGGGAGGATGGAGCTACAGCTCAGGCCCCACTTTGGCTTTGCAAACACGCACCGAAGTGGATAGACCTGGTGCAGCATAAGGAGTAAAACAAGTGGATGTGGTAAAATGTCACTGCCTCTCCTCACTCGTGGGCTCCTGCCATTTGCCTGGCTCCCTCCCTGCTCCCGTGGGTGTCTGCCAAAACCTCCCCTGGCAGCACTGCCCTTTGCTGCCCACCAGCACCCTGGTGCAGGCAGTGGGCTCAGCGAGGCCCCTTTGCCCTGCTGTCCCTCCTGCAAGGTCACCCCCCCCCAGCACTCCTGTGCAGGAGCCCCTCACCACCTTCTCCAGCTGACCTGTGCATGGGATCCCCGTCCTCCCTCTGCTCACACCCAGGTTCCTCCTCCCATACCTGCACTCACCCAACATGCTAACAGCTGCTCCTGGGTTGTGCTGGGAGCTGCAGCTCGTGCTGATGAGGAACCAGCTGGAGTCTTATTGTGTCTTGCCATCGTCATTATTTCTTGCTGTCTCTGTTGTTTTCATCCCTTCTGGTCTTGTTCTTTGACAGGCTGTCACTTCCTGTGCTCACAGCATTGAGTCCCTGTGTCTCTGTGGTCCTTGCTGCAGCAGCAGAGAGGGTTCATGAATGTTATCTCATGGGTTTGAGCCCTGAATGCAAGCAGAAGTTTGAATTTGGTCTGTGTCTTGAAAGTCTGATACCTATTAGGAGTAGAAAATACCTAATTCAGCTGCAATTAAAAATTACGAGCTCAATTTAAAATCTAACCGATCCAAAAATGCATGACTCTGCTAGGACTGCAGCTGAAAAGGCCAGCTCCCTCTTGGTGGAAGATACTTGAGTAAAAGCTTGTGAGTATCTCCAGTAGGTTTTGTAATGTAATTTCTTTTGAAATTCAACGTACTTATTAGGATGTGTCATTGTAGTACTACAATAGGAAAAATATATCAGCAGCCTGGGATATAATTTCTAATTTAAGTTTGAGTTCTTGGATGTATTTTGGCTTTCCTTTGGTGGTCAGTTGTGTTTTTTGTGGTCAGTTTGAATTTCTTGCTTTGGGTAGGAGCACCTCGAGGTTCTGGCTGGGTTGCAGAACGCAGGAGGAGCAGGAAGAATACCTGTCATGGGAGTAGTGGCTTTAGGCAGTAGCTCGGTGTGTCAGCAAAGCAGTGGTGGCAGCTCTGCTTAGAAGCCTTTTAGCTCCTTTGGACCAGCCTGAAAAATTCTGTGCAGGGTAACAAAGTGGATATTAAAAGTATGTCCACCTATGCCTGGTGGGGTCTGGGCTGTGGGATGGGGCAGGGCTTGGCTGTTGTGTGGTGGCACAGCAGGGTGCTGCCACCGTGTCACCACCTCCTGCCTTCCTTCCCAGGAGATGGGAGCCTGGCAGCTCCCAGTGCCAGGAGGGAGGTGGTGATTGCCCTGTCTCAGTGGGCTCAGCAGTGCTGCTCCTTTTGCTCTCTCATCTGGGGATGGTCCCAACACTGAATGATGCTGTACCCTGTTGCTCCAGCTCCTGTGAAATGCACCTTTGTTTAGAATTGCAGCTGCAATTTTGTTCAAATTTAAAAAAAAAAAAAAATTGTTTAAAAATGTTTAAAATCGTGCTGCTGCTGGTTTATCCCATCCCAGCACTTCCTGGAGCTGGGCTTGCAGGGACTGAAGCCCCATTGTGTCCTGGTATCATAAAGGGTTCCTCTGACAGACCCGTGCACTGGTGCTGTCCAAGAGCTGTGTGAGGCAAGGAGAGGCTGCTGCTTTCAGTAGGAAGTGCCAGGGCATGCAAAGCATCTGAATATTGATTGTTCTTTAATGTATTTATAAAGATCACCGCGGGGGTGATGTACACGGTTACATATTGTTGGCACTGTCTCAAAGCAGGGTTTGGTGGATGGGGCACACGGCTCTGGGGGCTCTGGTCTTGCTCAAACACTTTGCCTGCTCCCGTGCTGTTCAGCAGTGCCTCTCCAGAGCTCCCTGCTCCTGCTGGCTTTGCTCCTCTCCACCTGTGATAGCAGCAAGAGTTAGACATTAATTGAAAGAGTGGGGAACAGCACACTCTTGTGGGGCTGTGTCTTTTCCAGCTGCCTGGAATGAGGACAAGCTTCTCTTGGTGGGCACGGTGAGGATTCCAGCGGCATCTCCCTGCGGTGCTGCCTTTGCTCCACCCCAGCGGCTCCTGGCACAGGCCAGCAAACCCATCTTGCTCTAAGGCGAGTTATGATTTAATTATGTGATTTGCAAATCGTTATCTCTGAATGCAGCACGTAATTCACGCCAGAAGTGACGGCTCCAGACAGGCAGGCACAGAGGAGTTGAGCGTGTGTTGTGTTGTTCCAGGAACAGTGTAGTAGTCACTGTTATGATCAGCACTGTTTCTTTAGTGACTTTAAATACATTTAGTCAAAATCTTTCATTGTCTTCAAAACCACTGGTCTGATTCTCATTTTACACTGGGTACACTGAATGCTACTGTTCTCTGGGCATGAGTAAGAACTGTGTAGATACTCTTTTATCAGTCCTAGAACCACAGCATTGTAGACTGGTTTGGTTTGGAAGGGACCTTAATTAATCTTTGTCTTCTTTTTTCCGTCTTGAAAAGCAGTTTATACAGCAGGTTGTTGTAAAAGAAATTACATCAGAACATGTAAATAATAAAATAATTTCTGGTTCTCTGACCACTAAAGTAGTTTTGTTCAAACAAATCCATGAAGAACTTGCACTGCTGAGGACCCAACTGGATCCTTCAAGCTTTCCACTTTTCTTTTTGGAGTCATGCATCATAAGAGAATAAGCAGAGATTTTTAGGTCTAATATAATAATTCTGTTTGAAAAAGCAGGAATTAAAGCTGAATAAATGGAAGAGAATTAAATTCATGCTAGACATTAAAAAAAAAAAAGGCACCTCAAACAATGAGGGGTATTTTTAAAAGTCACTGTTTTATTAATAATACTTTCCACCCCTTTCCCTTGATCTTCTTATGACAAGCCTGACAGAGGCACTTTTTATCAGACACTGAAGCAATTTTGCTGCTGTCATGTGCCTTTCTTGATACACACGTATTAGTCACGCAGCCGTTTTATGTTCTTTAGCATATTTTAGTGTATAATTAAAAATGTGGCTGTCTGCTACCAAGCAACCAAGCACGTCAGGGGCTGATTGTGTTCTGTCACCCACAGCACAAGGGAGGGCAAAAAATAATAATAATCATGTGTTCACTTTTCAGTCTTAATTGCGCTCCAGCTCCTTGGATATGTTGTTACAGACACAGACCGGCTTCGGGAGACGGAGGCAAAGCCAGTGACTGGCAGGTGGTGGCACATCAGTCCTGGATGCTGGGCTTTGCATATGTGCTTGTGGTTTTGTGACTCTTCTTAGTTCAGTTCACCCTGCTAAGCTGCACCTTGGCTTTCCAAGGAACTGGAGAGCTAAATGCCTTCAGGCTCCTGAGAGTCTCTCTCTCTGGACGTTTAAAATAGGGAACGGAAGTTGGATGTTTGTCTTGTGCCTCCTCCATGGAGGTAGATGGGAGCAGGACTGCTGCACTGAAGGACACTGACTGTTGGGTAGACAATAATCCTGTGCTTCATTCATTTCTAGGTTATCTGCTGTGAAAAATGGCCCACCCAGATGCTTGAGAGGAGGTAAACTACTTGCAAGTGTGCCCAGGTGATCGCTGTAAGCACAACATCACATCCTCTCCTGCAGGCCCACAGCACCTTACCCCTCAGATTGCTCTCCTTGGGGCTCTCTCGTGCTCCTAAAAATTTTGGGTCACAGAATCACAGCATGTTTCAGGTTGGAAGATGGCACAGAGGGTCATCTGGTCCAACCTCTGTGCTCAAGCAGGGTCATCCTAGAGCACATAGCACAGGACTGCATCCAGATGGTTCTGGACTATCCCCAGTGAGGAAATTCCACACCCTCTTTGATCTCTGTTCCAGTGCTCGGTCACTGCAAAGTACAGAAGTTCTTCCCCGTGTTCAGGTGCAACTTCCTGAGCATCAGTTTCTGCCCTTTGCCTCTTGTCCTATTGCTTTGCACCACCCAGCAGAGCCTGGTCCATCCTCTTGACACTCTCCCTTCAGATACTTGTGTTCCTGGGTCCTCACCTGTCTCCTGTTGCACTGTCCCTGTCTGTTCCAGCCAGGGCTGGCAGTGCCGGTGGATCCCTGTGAGTGGCAGCGATGCTCTCCCGACGCGGTGGCTGCAGGAACCGGCTGAATGAGCCTTTGTTTGATGGTCTGGAAAAACAACACAAGTTCACTGATATCCTCAGCCCCAGGCTTATTTAACTTGGGGCATTAGGGGATTGTTTCTGTGGGAAGTTGTGGCTCTAAGGGTGCGCTCTGAAAAGCTGTGTGATCCTTGGTAAGATGGTACCATCTGTGTGAAACCCTGTCCTGAACCTGGAGAGATGCACTGATCTGGAGAAAGGCTGAGGAGGGCTTTTGGTGTATTTTTAGCCACATCCTCTCCAGGCTCAAGAGCAAAAGGGAATTTATTATGTCAGCACTATGCCTCACTTCTCCAGTCTCTTTCCATCTCTCAAGCATGTGCAAAATGTACCCAGGTACACACTGCAATCGTTATTCCAAAAGTTTTTAAATTTTAGTAGCTTTTATTACTTTAGCAAAACAGGTCAGCACATCAGCACAAACTGGTGTGGGGAAAAAAACACCATCGGGGAAAAACACAAATAATGCTGTAAATAATTCAAAGGCTGTTTGTTTATTGCAATTCCTTTGATTGGACCTCTAGGGAGAAGGATGGCATTGCCTTTAGATTTTTCACCATCAGCATCCAAGATATAATCTGCTCTGAGTCTGCCAGGATCTTGAGACGTGATACTGAGGCTGCTTGAAGATGATAACCTTGCCTGGAGTTCTCTATTTCTCTTGTTTTCCCCAGCTGGCCTTATCTAACCAGAAAGGGCTGTGATGGGGAAGGAGCCCCAGACAGACAGGTACAAGGAGACCTGTGGCAGATGTGGGGACACTCATTGGTTCTGCAGGACAGCCAAGAGCCCAACTTTGTTCATAGGCACCACTGCTGCCAGTCGTGCCCTATTTGTCACACTGGGGGCTTGCAGGGGTTACACAGTGAGACCACTTCATACATTTGGGCAGCAAGAGGGGCCTTGCCAGCTTGTCCTCAGTATCTGAGAGTCCCAAGACACAGGACTGCCATGCTGTCAAGATACAGCTCCCACTGTGCTTGACAGCAGCAATATTCACTGATCTGTGGCTAGTGATGGTGCCTGTAATCAGTGTGTCATGCAGAGGCTGGCAGATGAGTTTCTTTTTTTGCTGGTTTGAATGAGCTGAGAAAACAAGAACACCAAGAAGAAAATAATAATACCAAAAACAGTGAAGGAGATAATATAATTTATATTTTCTACGAAGAAGATAATTTTGCAGAGCATGGAGATTTTGCGTGCAGTCATGCCATGGTCTGTGAGCCACCTCTACCCATGACATGGCTGTGAGTCAGCTACACCTACTCCTGTCAGGGGTCCAAGCACAAGCAATGGTGGGATATCACTGGGAAGGGCTTTGGCAGCCCCCAGCTTGGATTGACCAAATGAATGAATAATCCTGCTCACATTCCCCAAGAGGAGACAGCTGTTCTGCTATGAACAGGCACTACAGGCACTTGGTGGTTTCACTTGTGAGTGGTCACTTCCTGAGCACTAGTAGATTCCCTTTCAAACAAAGCAACTGAAAAAGGTAAGTGGGGTTAGATGCCAAGATTCTTCTTGTTCCATGCTCTGGGGTGTATGCAGTTTCACAGGTGCTTCTGTATTTATGTTGTTTAAAATTCAGTTCTGCCCACCAACTTAGAGTGGCAAACAACTCAGGTGTGGGGCAGGACATCAGCTTGGGCTCGCAGCAATCAGAGGGCAGCCGGCTCTTCCTCCAGCACTGTCCTGCAGTCCCTGACCCACAGCTTGTATGCTTTTTCCAGGGTCTCTTCACTGGTGTCATTGAATATCTCTGGAAAGTAAGAGTTGCAGTTAATGGAACATCCAGAGGAGCTTTTCCTGCACTGACTGAGCAGGGCAGTCATTGGTCCAAACAGTTTGTGAGAGTGCTGTCTTGTGGGTGTGTAGAGACTGAGCTTCATGGAAGTAGTCTGGATGGATACTGATGCCAGAATTCACAATCTAGTCCCTTGCATTGCTTCTGTGTTGGGGATTGGTTGGCTTTTATTTTTAAATCTTAGGAGTAAGAATATTTCATCCCAGATACTCAACAGTTACTATTTGATTTTCAACTATTAGTTCTAGGCACAGTAATACATTAAATTCCTTTTGCCAAGGACTATTTAACTAATCTTTTCAAGTACAGCAAAGGAATTTTTTTCCCTTTTTGACCTTGGTTTATCTATCACAGCACTGGATTTACCTGCTGGTTTGCAAAAACCTTTGCGAGGCGAATTGGTTAATTACAGTGCAGTTAATTAGGCCTCAGTCCTTAACGGAGTTCTGGTGGTTACACATGAGACAGATTCCGTCTCTCGGTGGGTTTATCAAGATGTGAAGAAAAGCACAGGAAAACCACACAAGGCACATTTTCCAGCATGTCCCTGTGCTGGGATGTCCCCTGCTCAGGTTCCCACTCTGGAGGCTCCCTGGCGTTCCCTCCCTGCCCGTACCTGCTACGCCGAGCCCGGTGGGCAGCGGCATCCGTGTCTGTCCCCCGCTGTGCTTCAGGCGCTCCCTCAGGGCCCTCTTGATGAGGGCCCAGCTGCAGCCGCTGTGCCAGACCGGCAGCTCCAGGCCCCTCATGCACTGGAGGATCTGCTCCCTCTCCTCGGCGCCGATGAGCCCCCGCGCGTGGGCCACGTACGTCATGAATGCCATGTCGACGTTCACGGCTTCCCCGTGCATCAGCGACGGCAAAACCCTCTGCGGCACAGCAAGGGTGGGTGGTAGAAAAAAAAGGTTTGGGGGTTGACAAAGAAGAAGTAAGTAGGTTTTTTTTTTTTTCTAAAATTGCACCTGAAAATTGGCATTTGACTCGCTGTGTTTGCTGGGTGTTGGCGCCTTGTGGTTTACGGGTTGTGAGGGTGATCTGTTTGACATGTGATTAATTACATCTAAAATCTCCCATAGAGATCCAGGATTTAATTCTCCTTCCATCTAAATCACTGATAGAGCACCACAGGATGGAGGAAAGAGCTCTGAATCTTGTCTGAATGAGTCATCCCCCTCATTCCACAGTGGCAATTTCTCCCCAGTAATATGGGCTATGTTCTCTCTGCCTTTGTGCTGTCACAGCTCATGTTGGTGATTTCTAGTGGCTTCACTGTAATCTGGCCATCTTTGTGCTCCAGTAAATTCCCAGTAAAAAGTAACAACTGGCCTGAGGTCTGAATAGGAAACACGTGTGGAAGTGTGGGAGAAACAAAGGAGGGGAAAGGGTCTCTTTGTCCAACAGGACCAGGCTGCTGTGTTGGGTGACCTGGGGTAACATGCAAATCTGGAGTTTAGCTCAGCTCCTTTTCGCAGAGTTTTCATGCTGCCAATCGAATTTTTTTAAATTTTTTATTCAAAATGGATGCTGTAACATAAAGTCTTTCACTCACCATTTCCAGCTCTGGGCTTATAAGGTGACCAAAATCAACCAGTCGGTCCAGGTCATCCTCCCAGAGGTTGGGTGCCAGCTCCTCCAGCATGGTTTCAATGGCAATCCTGGTGGTCTGCAGTGCAGCATCCCCTTGGTCAGCAAAGCTGCTGCAGGACTGGAACTTGGTGTCCAGAAGGTATTTTCCATGGTTCCTGAGCAGGTCAAACAGCCCTTTGTGTTTCATGAGAGCCATCTAGGAAGAAGAGAACAGAAGAGGTAATTAAGGACAATTGTCTGATGTGCTGTTGCAAACTTGAGTGTTTCAGTAGATTGGACTGTAATTTCATGTTATACAGTAGCAAAGAAACAGCTGCACACGTGGTACACGGAGAAGTTCTGCTTCTGCAACCCGAAAAATGTGGCTGCAGACACAATTCCTGGTTAGCCTGGCTGTGTTTGGTGTGTGTCCACCAGGCCTCTTGGGCATGTGACCTGGTGGTGTTGCACATGTTGTCAGCTGTGGTGAGTGAAGTTGTGTGCGAGAGGCAGCGTAGAAATGCCCAGTGGGACTCTGGCAAAATGCCAGAGATGATGGGAGCACTGGTGTGCAAGTTCCCTTGTTGCTGGGAGCCTCTGCCCATGCTGGGAGCTTGCTACGTGCTCCCACATCCAAGCAGACGGTTTGGAACAAGCTTTGGCTATTTGTGTACCTGGAAGGAAACTCGAGACTAGATGGTGGCCACCCCCAGGACAACTGACATCTAATCCTTGGGGTTGCTTTTCAGGCAAGGGAAGGTGGGAATGCACTGCAATATAGAGCATATGAGGGTTTAGAAGTGATTTACTTGTTAAAAGTGCATATTACCCCCTCCACACACACACTCAGGAATTAACCCCTTCCTGCAGTGGGGAATGGTGACCTGCAGGTTTCCCAGTGCCTGCCAGAAGCCTCCAGATATCCTCGGGACTTCCCACTTTGCAAGTACTGAAAAATACTGCTGATGAACTCATCTCTAATACACTTTAATAACTTGAACTCTGCTTTATCAAAAGTTTCCAAAGCTCTCCAGGCATGAAGCCATTTACTGTGCACTTTCCAGGTAATTTCAGGAGTAGAATTTGCCTCACAGGAGATTGATTGACCACACTTGACATACCCGGCGAGGTAGGTGCAAATGATCTTGCAGATTATTAATCCCCAGTATAATGAACCTCAGGTTCTCTGCCAAGAGTTCATTATAGAGTGCTATGGATCAGACTCAATGGGAAGGTATTCCTGTGTCTACACCTGGCTGTGAGTTTTGGAGTGTTCTCTGCAGGGTTAGCACTAGACATTATGTGTGAATGAATATTCCAACTAGTTTAGCAGCTTTAAAAAGAATATATATAAACTCAATGGGAGTTAAAAGCCCCTGTGCAGCCTTGATGGCCCACCTTGGTTTCTCTGAGGTTGTTTATACAATGTCATGGATGCTGCTGGACATTTTACCAGCACTTTTATACTTAAAAGGGGCTTGTAAGAAAGATGGGGACAGACTTTTTAGAAGGGTTTGTTGTGACAGGACAAGGGGTGATGGTTTAAACTTAAAGAGGGTAGGTTCAGAGAGAATTTTTGTATAATGAGGATGGTGAAACACTGGAGCAGGTTTCCCAGAGAAGTGGTAGATGCCCCATCCCTGGAAATATTCAAGGATGTGCTGAATGGGGCTTTGAGCAACCTGATCTAGTGGAAGGCATCTCTGCTTATTGCAGGGGTGTTGGACTTGATGACCTTCAAAGATCCCTTCCACCCCAAACCTTTCCATGATTTCAGATTTGAAATCTGCAGCAGCAGGAGCTCATACCTTTAGGATTTCCCCGAGGCCGTTGGAGATGTGCCGCCGGGGAATGCTCTGGATGAAGGATCTGTCCAGGAAACTGGCTACCGGGGGGGTGTAGCCCCCGAGCTTGTTCTTGCACTGCAGGAAATTCACCCCGTTCTTCGCCCCCACGCTGGCGTCGACGTAGGAGAGGAGGGTGGTGGGGACCCGAATGTAGGGGGTGCGCCTGCGGTAGAGCGACGCAGCCAGTCCCACGATGTCCAGGCAGACACCCCCGCCGATGGCGATGATGGGCTCGGTTCGCCGGTCGATGCTGAAGTCCTGGACTTCCTGCAGGATGTTCAAGACCAGGTCCATGGATTTCGTTTCTTCGGTGGTGGGCAGGGCGAGGATTTTGTGCTGAACGTTGTTCTCTTCGAAGTATTCCCTGACTTTGGAGCCGTAAAGTTTGTCAACGACTTCGTCTATGACGATAAAGCGCCTCAGTTTCCTCGTGCTGCTGGTGGCGAGCTCCAGTTGCTGGGGGTCGGTGATGTGACCCCAGAGCAGAGTAGTGTTGGAGGGATCCAGAATGTTGTATGTTTCTACCACCTTGTAGCAGAAATAGATGGGAGCTTCAATGGTCCAGGAAATCCCACCTTCGGAGACGCACTCACCTCTGGCAAGGGGCAGAAAACAAGGTTTGAAATCATTATATATTTTGTCCTTTGCATGTCTGAACTAGTTTAAGGATGTAGCTGGGAGGTGAGGAATGTGGAGTCTCCTGCCCATGCACTGTGAAAGCGTGGGGCTCTGAGGGAGGGACACCCTCCTGTGTGTCAGGGCTCAGCAGCTTTAGTGCTGGAGAAGCTCTCCCAGGTCTTAGTGAACAGTCAAATGACTGAATTCCTGCAGGGCATTGGAAAGATGCAGAGCAAGAAGGGTTGGAGCATGTTTTTCATGCTGGAAGTTGAAAACCCCATAAAAAACCCGCCAGCTCAATCATTTTAGCTTCCAAAAAGAGAAAGGGGAAGAGAAGAGCTGGCCAAAATTTTCCAAAGTTTTTATAGAGGAAGCATCCTCTGGTGGTCTATCTGGGTGACAGGAGTTGATTTCCTCCTGTCTATCTTCACACAGCCAAACACTTCCACACAAAACTATGTTTCTAAAATGTTTCAGCTGAACCAGTGAATCTCTACCTCGAAACAGATATGTTAGAAATAGGAAGTACTCCCAGAGAGGGAAAGAAAATTATTTGAGGGTTGTGAAACATTTCCATACTGGAGTTTTAAAGATAAATAAAAGGCAGCATGTAGTATTTATCTAAACCAGTGAAGAACAGAGCCCTACAACCAAGTTATTCCTTCTGTGGGACAGGGGAGGCAGGGGAAAACCAAGTTGGGAATCAGGAAAGGAAGAAAAAAAAAAAAGGGAGAAGGGAACAGCAAAATGTATTTTATACAAGACCATTTCTTAAGCTGCAGTTGGGTAAAAATGAAAGTTTCTGTGAGCCTTTTTTTTGTTTTTTGAGTGAGCAGCTGGCTCAGATAATCAGATTTCCCTAAGTGCACAATTTCTTTTCACATGCCTGAATTCTCTTATATTTCTAAATAGATACCTCTCTGCTTTTTTTACTAATTGTCTCTAAGTCTATCCTTAACCTTTGTAGCTGTTAAAGAAAACCAGTGAGGATTTACACCTTCCAGAAAATCCCTTCTGGGCTTTTAAAATGCAGTATTACAAAAAGCATCATCATGTACATTTTAATGCACCAAATATCTATCTTACAGCTGTGCCTTAACTGCACGTGCATCCATCTCCTATGTGACCCTTCTAAGAGGCAGGAAGCTTTGGAATGTCAGTTGGTGGAGTCAGCTTTGGGTGCTGGATGGCACAACCAGTACACATTGCAACCCCTCTGCTGTATGAAAACCATAGTGAATTTGAGGCTGAACATTCCCTTGTTGGAATCTAAGTCAGCTGAGAGCTTTTCTGGATGTTCTTAGGCCCTAGGTTCATCCTGTTATTGTCTGAGCTCCAGCAGACTGCCTCTGGGTCTGCTAAAATCCTGCTCTATCTGCTGCAGCTCTGCCTGAGTGATGGTCGTGCACGGTCGCTGCCCGCTGCCAGCGCTGGTGAAGGTTCCTCTGACCTCACTGAGAAAGGGGTTAGACTTGTGCCATTAAAATCTGAGCATGACAAATGCTAGAAAACTTCTGATATGCAAAACAGAGCTGTATTAAGAAAGATCTTCCTCCCAAATGGGGGTCCATGTGCTCATGAAAAGGAGTATTCTGTAATTAAAGGATAATTAACTGGAGAGATGTAATACCAGCAAAGAGCTGTATGTATCCCTGGGGGAAATTTGTCTCTCTGCTCTGTCTGAAGCAGCATTAGGTGACTTCTGCAGTTTGAGAGATGTGGTAAGGGTTTTGCTCCTGTCAGGGACTATTTATTTTTTTCCATCCTGCCCATTTCATTTATCTGCAACCACCTCTAAAAACTCATCTATCTCCCATGCCTGCGCATCAGCTTTTGCACACACAGATTGCAGGTACACGGGTGGCAAAAAAGCCCAAGTGCAGCACTCAGAAGTCCCTGCATAAGCTTTTCAGAAGTTTAAAGTAACTTCCCATCTACAAAAATGAAGGGTGTTGAAAAAATTCCCTCTGCAAGATGGCCAAGGTTGTGCCAAGGGGAAGAGCAACTCCCCGTGCTGCCACACTGCAGATGTTCTGAGGGCTGGGGGGTCATACGTGTAGAGGGGCTTGGATGGGGCTCTGAGCAACCTGGTCTAGTGGAAGGTGTCCCTATCTGTGGCAGGGGGGGTTAGACTCAATGACCTTTAAAGGTCCTTTCCAACCTGAACTACTTTGTAATTCTGGAATGGTGGGTTTAAGCCGCAAATGTGGACATGGTGGTTTTTCCATCTGAGATACATCCCCACTGGGAAGACCACCAAGTTTGGCCAGCCAGTGCAGTCACCAGCAAACAACACAGGCTCCTATACTTACATTTTTGCCTCGGAGAGAATGATCTCGTCCTCACCGTTGGAAAAGGTTTCTCCTCTCTTGACGCGGTACCACGTGCTCTTGACTCGCACCAGCTGGAAGTCTGTCTGCCGGGGCTCCTGGGCCATGGTGGCTGGGACTGCTGGAGCACAGACCTCTTCCGACACCGGCATGCCTCCAGAGGGTAAAATCTCCCTGTTCAGGGATCTCCCATCCCTGGGTGCCTCTGAAGTGCTTTTTAAAGGCTCCAGGTGACCAGGCGTTGGAAGGGGAGGTCTCGTTTCCACGGGAGAGAGACTAATTACAAAACTGAGATTATCTAATCTGGGATGCACGTTCGGGGTGGCAGGAACGTTTGAAGACACGTGAGTGTACAAGGATGGGGTTGTATAATCAGCTGGTTTTATAATGCTTCAGAGGTACAATAGGAGTGCATACATTAACTTCCAACATGATGCCCTACAGCAAATTTAAAGTTATGAAAGGCAGTTTGTGTGATTCTCCACATCATTCAGGAACGTCCTTTGCTGAGCAGAGCCTCTGATCTGGCTGCAGCTCTAAGCTGCTCTTACAGGGTGAGACAGGAGCAGATACCAGCTGGGGTATCTGGGGATTGATACCAGCTGGTTAAACCTCTTTTGAGCTCACATTCCTGGGATTCCCTTGAATTGAGGAACAAAATGATATATACCCATTTTGGCCTTTATGGTGAGTTTAAAAAAATTATCAGAGAGAATTTATCTCCTGAGGGGCTGCTTGAAGCATGAGCTGAGTTTTGATCCCCACGTGTCCGAGGGATGCACAATCCACTTTTCCATATAATCTTCCAGCTGGAGCTTTTGGAGGGCCCCGGGCTCAGCTTGCCACACCAAATATTCCCTTGGTGTACAGTTCTGTGTGCTGAGCGCAGGAAGATCTTACTTTGATTTCACCAGCAGAGCCTGAAGGCAAAAAACCCGTCTTTGCCACCTTCTTGGCAATGTTTCTGAAAGCTGTCCTTGTTGAGAAACAAAGATCAAGAAAACCAAAACCAGATGTAAAAGCAGAAGCTGGAAAAAAAAAATGGGTCTTTAAGAACCCGTTGGATAAGACCACTTCATTTCTTTGAAGGCTTAATTGCAGCCAAACTCACTTAGGAACCTTCATCTGTCTCAAAATTACTGTTTGGAATGAGCTAGAAGAATAATCTCTAAAGCCACAAAGCCCTGCTCCAGGAAGAGTCTAACTCCTGACTCTGGGTCTCATTTTGGGTTCATCTCCAGGTGACAAAGAGCTTTGCCAAGAGGACACTCTTATCCCCATTTTACAGAAGAGGAAAATAAACTCACAGAAGTGAAACAACTTACCCAAAGTCACCTTCAGAACTAGTGGATGTGGATTAGATGGCATACTAAAGCTCTTGGGCTGTTTACAAAATACTCATCTGACATTTAACTCCCAATCTAAACACAGTTTGGATTGCTTTCTGCAGGAACTGCAATTCTAATGCAGCTTGTTGTTTACTAAATCATAAAATAGAATAATCTTAGGTATACCAGGAGGTCTATCCTCTTCATCTTGTTTATTTGTTTTAATTAATAGAAATCCATTCAACATTGGGACTTATTTTATTTGCTTTTCTTGTACTCTTTCATCCTGTGCATTTACTTATTTTCCACTTATCATAGAATCATAGAATCATAGAATCATAGAATCATAGAATAAATTGGGTTGGAAAAGACCTCCAAGATCATCAAGTCCAACCCCTATATTTTCATGTTCTCTTCTGGGGGCACTGAAATGTCTTCTGTTTCGTTTCAGAAGTTGGCAAATTAACTTTCCAAAGTCCATCTGCTTGTCAGCACCAATGACTTGTTCCTGTGCCATCCATCCTGCAGAGGGGCTGCCAAGAGCCTTGTGTGAAGACCTGTTCACCTCCCTTGAGCAGCCCTGGGTAATCTCTCTGCAATCTCTGCAGGTACACTGAGTTGGTCCTTGACTAAATGAGCTCAGGGTGACACATTTCAGAGATGAAAGATGCTGTTTGTGCTACGGGGGAGTTCATAATTCCTCATTAACTTCAGTTTGCATTTCATCTGTGTGAAAAGGAGACGATCGACCTCAGCTCCATCACGTGCTATTTCACGACTTTGCTTTAATTCCTCACCAGCCTTTCTCTGCCCCAGCTCTGCTGCAGGCCAGTGAAGGCTTTTGGATACCCTGGATGCTCCCACTGATTCCTCCTAACGCCTCTCTTGGCCTGTGCAAGGCTGGGACCCTTTCTGAGGGTGCAGGTCAACTGGTACCCAAGTGACACAACCTGCCCCAGTCCGTGCAGGGACCTGGACACCAGAGCAGGGTTTGCTCTGATGTTTGGCTGCATGAGGCAGCAGTGACCTTGTAGATAATCTGGGGTTCAGAGTCCTGGGACTTTTTTGGCCTCATACCTGGTTGTTTAGCTGGGAGACATGTCTGTGGCATGCAACGAGAAAAGTTATGAAACTGCCGGTTACCTCCTAGAGAGCCAGCAGCTTTCCCAAGGTCAGGATGTGAACTTATGTAAACCCAAGGCATTAAAAGTCGGCTCTTTTGTTGTTCTTTTTCATGTCAGATGCTGTTGGATCTCACCTGCTGCCTGTGGTCTGGGTGGGACAGGCGGGCGCAGCTGGAGCGGGTGCAGCCCCCGCCCGGGGCGATCCTCCCTGCGCAGCCTCTCCCCAGGGCTGGGGCTCTGCCCGGCTGATCGCGGGGAAGCGCATCCCCTCCACGGACCCCTGAGCACCGACCTGCCGCTCTGCGGAGGCAGCAAACCCACCGCAGCACCCTCTGAAGCCGTGGGGACAAGAAGGAACATGCATAATCCTGCAGGTAAACTCCCTGTGTGGGGTGGGGAACTCCAGGAGGGATGGTGTGACAGGAGGGGACACCGCGTGATGCCCCGGTCCGGGGTCCTCACCTTCCCCACGGAGATGTGACCTGCAGGCTCTGTGGCTTGGCAGAGAGGAGCAGAGGACGGGTTTGTTTGGCAGAGGAGAGAGGCTGAGCAGGGGAGATGGGTCTGCAGGAACGTGGAGCAGAGGGAGGAGGACGCTCCCAGGAGAAAGAGATGGGGTGGAAAGGTGAACACAGTGGTAAGAGAGTTTCTGCTGTGACTAATTTCTGATGGGTTGGGATGCTTGTTTTATAAATATTGTTTCTCCTTAATGGAGCCCTGGGGAGATTAAGCTTTTCTAACTTTTTTTTTTTTCCCCCTAGCAGTAGGACCTATAGAAAACGTATCAGCTGATGCATATTTTCCTTGCTTTGCCCTGAAGTTCAGTCAGAGTTTAGCTCCCTGGTTCCTGCCGCAGGCAGCAGCTTCTCCACTCCTCTCCCTCTTCCTCCTTGTGCTTGCACTCCACCCCTAAACCTTTCCCCAGGCCAGCACTGCTGGCTTTGCTGCAGGCTCTGGCACTATGGATGCTGAGGCTGAGCTCTGCTTATGACATCCTGCAATGTTTAATGGCCATGACTTGGTTTTGACCCACACTGCCACCCCACCCTAGTCCCCCCTACATGGGCCATGACCTGCCTGTGGCCCTGTGCATTGCCCTTCCTGGGCTTGTGGGTGGTGGGTTTGGAACCACCGAGCAGCCCCAGATGTGCCACAACCTCACTCCCTTTTCCTTTTGCTACAGCTCCATCCATACAATGGGTGTGTCTCACAGCTGGGGTTAATGTGTTTGGGTCAAGCAGCAGCACAGCGTCTCCTCAGAGGCTGCAGTTCTGCATGCAGGGTTCTGGTGGCGTCAGGAAACAGCTCAAGTGGTGAACGGTGGTTTCTATAATCAGGATCTCCTGATAAAATGCCACAGCTGAGGTGTGTTTACACACTAGACAAAGTGGTGAGTGTTGTGATAGGCTTTTGTCAATGCCTGAGGTGCCTTGGTGAAGATGATGGCTGGAACTGTTTGGGATGATTTTATCAGACTGGATTTCCAAGTGTTCAGCACCGACCAGCTCCTGCCAAAGTGCCTGGCACTGGAGCACCGAGCTGCCTTGGCAGCAAAGTGTTCAGGTGGATCAGGTTCAGTGCTCTGCCCTGGCTGGGAAGGGGAGCTCTTCTGGAAGTCACTGCTGGGGCTGCAAAACAGATCTGGAGGCTGGAAGGTGAAATGAGGATAGCCCAAAAACGGGAACCAAGGATCTGGCCCTACATCTTTGAATGTGGCACCTTTGTTTTGTGTTTGCCAAATCCAGACTCTCTTCTTGTGTGCTTGTCTCCAAGCCTCCTCCTGGGCAGCCCCTTGCAAATTGTAAAGGGTCGTCCTCTTTTCCACCATCCAAAAAGTGCCATCTAAGAACAAGCTGCAGGATTGTATTAATTTCAGTTCTGAAGCAGCAGGTCCCTCCATGGCACTGTCTGCCTGCTCAGGGGACACTGTATGTCCCACACATACAGTCTAGTTTAGTACTTATTATAGTCCAACAGTTTTACTGGGGTTGTGCAAAACTGTGTACAAAAACGAATCACTTTTCCTGGAGTAATATTTAAAAAAAAAAAAAAAAAAAAGTAGTTACATAAAGTTTAGTGCTCAGAGCCTTGGTCTGGGCAGCCAGCCCTGAGCTCTGCTCTGACTTGTCTGGTGCTTGCATAAATGAAGGCAATTCTGACCTCTGCTGTTGGCCCAAGGCATCACCAGGCTGCAAAAAATGCAGCACTCCCTGAAAAGATTGTGTAATCTTGGATGGAGAGCTGCTCTTGGCATGCCCTGCCACCCCCAGCAGCACCTCTTGGCACTTTTGGTTGGTGTTATAACACAGGTTACAAAACAGCAGGAGGTGAGTCCTGTTTGCAGCTGTGTGACAGGAAACCCTTGTCTGTTACTCATCCAGAGGAGTAACATGAAGATTATTAAAATCCGACACGGATTATAAACATGTTTTTTTCCCTCTAAATTAACAAAAACCTCAGAGTGCTTGTCGGTGGGAACAAGCAGATCCTGACCTCCAGCATTCTCTGGTAGTACAACAGGAGCCTGTGGATGCTCCCTCGTGTGGTTGTGAAAATGCTCTGAAAGGAGAGTGTGTCCCCTTCACTCAGCATGTAGCTGGACTGAGGGCAACAACTGACATGGCTTGAGAAGGGGGTGGTTATTCCTGCACTTGCAATTAATTATAAAACTGCCGAATGAGATATAAACTACCCCTTTGCCACCTGACGGGAAGAGATTGGGATGAGATGTAAATCATCATATCACAGAATAACAGAATGAGTTGGTTTGGAAAGGATCTTAAAGTTCACCTAGATCCTACCCCCTGCCACGGGCAGGGATGCCTTCCACTAGACCAGGTTTCTCCAAGCCCTGTCCAGCCTGGCCTTGAACACTTCCAGGGATGGGCCACTAGAGCAGTGTTTGGGTGTTTGTCACTTTGGCTGCACATTTTATTTTAGGCATGAGCATCATGGATTGCTCAGCAGCCTCCATGGCAGACACATATCAGGGACACTTGTGCATCCCATCAACACAGGATGGAGATCCTCCTTTTCACAAAGCTACATCCAGTGCCTGCATCTCCTGGCTTAGAGGATCTGCCTGGTTTGGCAAGAGCAGTTTGGGAAGAGCTCTATTTTCTCCAAGGACAAAGCTACCTAGAGGAGCGGGTTTTGTTTGGTGTTTGATGTTTATCTCAGAGCTTCAAAGGCACAATTCGTGTTTTGAAAACATTCTTATCCTTGATCAACTGTGCTGATCTCCCAAAAGGGGAGAATCCACAGAACAAAAATCTATTAGAATTGTACTATTTTTTCCATTTGAAAAGGTTTCCATGATGGTTTTCATAGAAACTAAAAAACCTGTATTTTCTATTAAAAAAAGTGCACTTGTGGGTTTTTTTTTGGTTTTTTTTGTTTACTTTAAATTCCTCTTCCACTGATTTGAGTGATCGCAAAATCATTATTCTTCCTTTTATTTTCCATTTCAGAAACCCCTGCTGGACACATTGCTGAGAACCTTCTCAAAGCCAAAGAAATAGCCCTCAATGACTCTCGTGTACCTGAGCAGCTCAGGAATTACTTACAAAAAGCTCTTGATGTTGCTCTTGGACTAGACCCTTACCTGGATGCGATGGCAACTTCTAAGAGGTACAGACTCTCCTTTGTAACCTTGTGCTTCTGTCTGTGAGTGTGTGAGTCTGTTCTCAGATTTTCTGTCCAGAACATGCCATAAACAGGGGAGGAAGAAGAATGAGAGTTAACTGCACCCAAATATACAGCAAAGTGTGCATGGATGTGTGTGTGTCTGTGTGCACCTACGGCCTAAAGGAGAGGAGGTGAGAACAAGAAGTCCTAACGCTAAATTTTGGGATATATTCTCCCAGCTGTTGGCTATGACAATGTCTTTGCTGGACCATATCCTGGGGAACACCAGCACACCAGCTTCCATGCAGTGCCTGCTGGAAGGCTGGAAGAGTGAGCCCCTCAATCAAACTGGTGCTGGGATAAATAAAGAATAAGGAAAACCTGAACCTCTGGATCCGCCCTCTAATAACAGCCTTTATATGCAGCTTTTATCTCCAAGCACTCAACAAACATTAATTAATCTGCTAACTAAATTGCTCTGGTAACTAAACTAATTAATTAAACTAATTTAAGGTATCATTAATTCAGAAGTCCAACTGATACCCTCATTATTCTTTTCTGAGCTACAGTATATTACCTAGCCATGTGGGGTCTGCTAAACAATTCCCATTTATCAGTGCACATTTTGATATGTGGAATAAGCCAGTTCTGCCTAAAATTGACAATGTGTAAACTGTTCCAGGCTGTGGATTATGGGAAGGCTGAGTGTTCGTTCTGTTGCTGAAATAATAGCTGATAGTTGTTTGACTTACACTTGCTGTAGGATAATAGCTATACATTATCTTATTAAAGTTGTTAAAGCATTTGTGAGGGGCAGAAAAGAGGTTATATGAAATGTTCTACTCTTTAAGTCTTGGATTATCTGAGTGTGGCTGACACGGGTTATGAATTCTTTCTCATTTTACTGAGGAGTAGGGAGGGGGAGGCTGGAGGGAAAAAAAGAGCTGAAATGGCTCTAAATTCTGGCCTGCAGAATGATCACCATCCATTTCTGGTGGTTACTTTCTTTAGATAGGGTAATCTAACCTGTCTGGAGGCTATGGACTTCTTCCAGTCATCTGTTGCCTTCCCTGTGTAATAGGTAGCATCTCACTTCATCCAGAGACATTGTCAGAGGCCTGGCTTCTGTAAAATAGCCTCTGGAGACACCCTGTTTTCTCAGCAGTTTGTGTGGAAAACCGTGTTTTCCCTGTCCTGCAAAACAATTTAGATTTTACATCTTTTCTCCTATTCTGCAATGAAACTTTTTTTTTTTTTTTTTTTCTGGAACAAAAATAATCATTGCAGAACTGAACAAAACCTGGCCAGGGTAACTAGTGTAATTTACTCCAAACCAGCAGACAGATAGAGACCTGTCTAGGACTGGCTGGAAATGAGAAGGATCTGGGGTTGAACAGTGGGAATTCTCTCCTTTGGTCCCATAGCCCCTTCTTCTCAAATCCCTATGGCTGGGGTGGCTGCCAGCACTAAAATGGGCTTATTGCCAAGCCAGGTCCTCTTAGGACTGGAATTTAGGATGTTTGCAGTGCTTCTGGGATAATTTTTCATGGCCATGCACAGCTGGAGCTTTTCCAGGCACTCCCTTTTAGTTGCTGCTTTTTATGCAGGACTCTCAGATTTCGGTTGTTACCCTATTGTTGAAATTGATTTCTTTTTCCAGAAAAACTTCACCTGACCACGTTCCAGGGGATGCTGAAGGAGCTGGAAGCAGAGTTAGGCTGCAGGAAGGACGTGCTTCTGGCTCACTGAATGGTAAGTTGGTCAACGGAGAGGATAAAATTGCACCAGATTGGTGTAAAGGCTATCAGTGACATCGAAGCTTTAATTTTTCTTGAGTGAGGAGAGGTCAATTGCCATGGGGATGCTCAGAAAATATGGGAACTTGCTAAAAAAATAAAGTTTTGAGCCTCCTGTAGGCTTTGATCTTCCTTTGGCAGAAGTTTTCCCAGTCCCATTCCTCCTGTGCCCTTGTATTCTTGCATGTGTGCCCACACACATGCTTGTGAGTGCTTCAATTCACAGTGCCAGCCCCATCTAGTAGGGAGCAGCAAAAAAATCATTACTCTTGTTGGAGGGCAAAGGAAGGGAAAAATCATTTTGGTTGGGTTTGGAGGTGTCTGTTAGGGGTTTATGTGCTTATTGTGGTGGAGGTGGCCTGTGGCCAAGCACTTGTACCTCTACAAGTAGCAACACCCAGGCTTGTGTCCCCATATAAAGCCTATTACCCTGAATCTATTCCCAGACTCATTCTTCCCAGATGTTCCCATCTTTGGAGTAATATATCATCCCAGTGAAGTACTCTTATAATGTATTACACTAATACATTGTTCGAAGGACACCACTGATGATAAATTTCTTAAATGATGGTGCTGTCTGGGGATAATGACTCTAAGAGCAAATGCAAGGTAATGTAGTGATTTTTTTTTTTTTTTTAACTGGATTCCAGAAAGAATATGGAGCCATCTCACAGCCATTTTCATATGGGGGGAATGTTAAAATATGCAATATTTCAAGCACTATTTAACAAGCACTTGAACAATAGCAGCATTAATGATAAAGGTTCTACATTTAAAACCAGTCCCTTTATTCTGTTGTCTTTTAGCTGCATTTTAGATGAAATTTTGTCAGGTTCTGTTGTTAAACCCTTACTTGAGAGTGTTTTAAGATTAGTTTGGTTTTTTTTTTTTTCATTTTTAATGATCACTTAAAAGGCACATCTAATTTTCATTGCGAACAGGGTACCCTCTTTCTCATGATTTTATTTTTAATTTTTCATTCTTGTCTTTCCACAGGCCAAATTTTTAGGATGTTGGTTCATATGATCAGAGCCAGGAAGATTTTATTAATTGGCAAGCTTAAAGGTTACAGTATCCTTGCTATTGCAGAGGAATTGCCAGACGATGGCAAAATTTTTGCATGTGCAGAAGCGCCGTATCTGGGAGTGAACAGCCAGGAAGCATTTGATTATTCTTCAGATGGCAAAAAGATAAGCATGCGAGTGGGACCAGTGGCAGACACCTTGGAGGTAAAGTCGGTTTGGAAGGGGAGTTTGGGAGCTCTTGTGCAGAGCACATTAAAGCATTTCGGGTAGGTTCTGTTCCCTGCACACAAAAAGCTGGGTGGGGGCCCTGGTTTGTTTGCAAATATGTGAACACACGGTTGCACTGGGGTTATTTCTTGTTCACGGTGTAGGATGGGACAGCTCTATCATACAGGATAGTGGTTTTTTCTTTTTAAATAAAATCCTGCAGCTTTTTGATCAGAGGAATCAGAAGCTCTCAGTGTAGGTCGATAGGCTTCAATGGCAGCTTTACTTGATGTCGATTGTGTCGGATCTCAAATTCCAAATACAATAAACAGGAAGAGTGTATCTGTACCCTGCTGAGCCAGCTCTTGAGAAAGACAGCTTGCTCCCAATGTTCACAGGGATCAGGAAAGTCTTGGAGAAGTTTCTAATTCAGCCACAACCTCTCATTATTTTCCCCCACTGCAAACTCTGTGGGAAATTAAACCCCAATTTCTCACTTCCAGAGCGATGTGATGAGCTTACCACAAATAAGGCATTAGCTGTATTTGTTTCATTCTGACTCGTGACTGTGTCCCAAGACAGAGAAAAGCTTATGATTGCCAGCAACTCACATTTAATTCCTATTTGTGGGATCTCTAGGACAGTGCTGCAGGTCCAGCACGTGATCAGGTGATGCCCATGCCAGGTTCATTAAATAGCCTTTCTATTACTAATACAAACCAATTTGATCTGATTCTATTTTCAATCTGGATGTGTCAGTGTGAGCTTGATTGTAACTTTATTTGCATTAACAGGTACCATATTTATTTCTAAAATGAAATGACCAGGAGCTTTCTGGCCTTTGGCTTTCATGACCTCCAAGTTTGATAAGAAAGAAACAAAGAGCTTTGCCAAGTATATGAATAAACGAAATGTTACAGATCACCTGCAATGTGCAGCATTTAAAATCCCAGCTCCCCGCAGTGAGTGTGAAATTAATTGAATTGCTGTTGCTCTCTAGTGCCCATTCTGTGCAACTGACTTACTGTGACTGAATTAAAATATCTAGAGGCAGGCAGAGAACATGCTGTGTAGAGATTAAAGAAGGGAGCAAAGACATGAAAATTAAATCCTTAAAACAGAATGTTGCAATTGATTTTATATCCTCCAATTGCAACATGAAGGCACATCCTGACCCTGGTTCTGCAGGTGCTCAGGGCTTCAAATACCTCTCAGAGCTGTTGGGAACAGAGATGCTTGTGTTTGGCAGGAGAGAGATCCCAGCATGGGGACACCTCTCTGTGCAGGATTTCTGCACTGGGCTCTGAACTTTATTTGCTCAGTGTGGCAGATGTTTTGTCACTCATATCAGGCTTCCTCTCCTGCCCTGTGGACATGCTGAAAGGCAGAAGGACAAAGCAATCACAGGCTGCAGGGGGGTGGGTGAGGAGTGGCACAGCTGAGCTCTCACAGCTCAGCTTCATGGAGGAGTTGGAGAATATTTCTGTGCCCCGTGGTCTACATGGAGGCTGGTCTAGACCAGAGCTGGCTAATGTTTGTTGAAGAGCACCATGAGAGTCTGAAGAGCTGGAACAAGCTCTGGCAAGGGGATTGTCTTTGTTGTCTGTGGTGTCTGCAGCCCAAGGTTTCATTCTTGTCCTTTTTGAGAAACCAGAGGGCAGAGGTGATCACCCACCACTTGCTCTTTGGAGGTGTCTGATGCAGCTTTCTTGCTGTGGTGGTGATGGCTGAGTTTTGCTTCCAATCTGAGTGCAACAGGGCAGGATCTCTGCTTATCTGCTGCTCCTCAGATTTTCACAATGTTGAGGCAGCACACCAGTGCATAGCAGCACCTTGACCAGGCTCTCTGAAGATGAAGAACATCTCTTTTGATGTTCCTTTGTGTTATCCCACAGCACTGGAGGAGTCAGCCAGTTCCCCTGCCTCCTGTCCCAAGTCACAGCCAGCTGCAAAATATCTGAGATTTTGACCTGTCAAGGGATGCTAAGTGTCAGACAGGAGCCACAGAGCTCAAGTAGACAGTGAGGTTCATTTGGCACCTGAGAGCACAATGATAAAAACCCACCTTTCCCATAAGTGAGGGATAGACACTGCTGAGCTAGGTGAGGTCTCCACCAAAGCATGTATCTCACATACACGATGGCACAAGCCACTGTGCCAAATGACCTCAACAATTTTTACATAATATTTTGCAATGTGGGCTGAGGGGAAGCCTTTCCTTGTGTTCAGTCTCAGGTACTGGTGCTCTTAGTGGGAATTAGCCACCTTTTCAGTGTGTGCTGGGCCAGCATTTAAAAACATTTCCCAACAAGGTCCTTAAGTCTAAACACTGTTGTGCTGTGCCTGGATAACGTGCCTTGCCCTGCATCCGCAGCCAGCAAGAGCCTGATCCTGCACAAAGAGCTTCCTTCAATCCCCAGTGGACTTTTCCTTGAACAATGGCTGCAGGATTGAATTTGGACGGAATGCAAACTACCAGGAAATTATTCCCATCCATGATTTTGATCCTTCCATTTTAAAATTGAAAATGCTCCGCAAAAAAATAGCGCCGTGTTTGCAGCCGATTCTGCTGATTGCAGGGCGTTGTGTAAGCATGTCGGGGTTTGCTTTCTTCTTTTTTTCCCTCCCTTTAGCAGACAGGATAGGTGAAGAGGTTGAGCTGCAGATCTCATTTCTCCTGTTTTGCTGCTTGTGAAGTCTGCCAACAGAATCCACCTTGACAAAGTCAAGGACTCTGCGTTTAATGTTGAACTGAGTGAATAAATTATGCATGAAATTGTGTCGGAGTCTCTAGTGTGCTCTAGAATTGCTCCTTTTGATATGAAAGGTTAATTCAGAAAGGAGTCCAAAATAGCTGGAAATTGTGGGGATAAGTGGATAGTATTCACTGTTGTGAGCTGTTATTACTAGAAATTGCATTCCCTCTCTGGCTTCCCCAGAGATTTCGCCTTGCCGGTGAATATAAACTGTACTCAATAGAATAGCATTTAGGAGTAACAAGAGTGTATGTCCACATACAGTAAAATATTCTAATGGTGTTTTAAAAGGAAGCTGTACTTTTTCATGTATTCTCTGTGCCCTAAGGATGGATTGCTATTACATTTAGGTCAAGAACAAGGCATAGGGAAGGTAATAAGTTTTGAGTACATCTTTATTACAAATATGCTGACTGTATGATCCATATCAAAGGAACTGGGCAGTCATTTTTTTCCTGATTGAGTTTGTATGTGCCTTATGTTGTCTCTGAGAAGGACTCCAATCAGGTTTTCTCTGAGGTTTGGCAGAAGATTCATTCATGTTTTTATTCAGGATGTCCTCTGCCTGGTCTTTTGCTTTATCCATCAGCAGTGCTGCTGTGCCCTTTCTCATGGTCTCTTTTGGTGTATCTCTTCTATAGAATGCAGTGTTACACTCTTTTTAATCCAAAAGGAAGTTAATGACTCACTGTAATCAAAAGTATTAATTTTAGCCAAGTTTGCTCTGAATTAAGACTCTCATTGCCATCTGTTACCATCTAAGATGACTCTGTAGCAAGGAGCAGGGATTGCACTGTAAACACTCAGGAAATTAGTTTCAGCAGGATATTTTGCAGGCAGATTATTTCCTTCTGGATCTCAGCTTTCCTCACAGTTGGAATCGTCTGGGTTCTGCTTCTCTCCAAGCAAAGGACAATGGAATCTCCAGCTTGCTGTGAGGTCCCAGGCAGGGCCTGGCCCAGACTGTGCTGGGAGGGCAAGGGTTGTCAATCTTAAGCCCCCTCATCCATATGGGACAGCAGGAATTTGTCCTTTTCATCACAGCACCCATCTTTCCCAGTGCCTGGCTCCGCAGTCAGAGCTACGAGTAGAGCAGCTTTAACCTTTCTGGCTGTCTCAGTTCAGCAGCAGGTGCTGGCAGTGAGGAAACCCTCTCCAGTGTGGGGCCCTGGCCACAGTTACCACCTGTTTGAGTGACCCCTGCTCTGCTAGCCAAGGAGATCCAAAAAAAACAGAGGACTTTCTCAGTCTTGTGGCTGTTTTCCTCCTGCTCTAGAGGCAAAGCTTGTTCAAGGAATTTCATGGATTCCTCTTAGAGCCCTGGAACTGTTTCCAGCTAAATATGGAAAACCCAGCAGCGATTTTGAAGCTGTGGAAACAAGAAGCTCAAATGATGGCAGGTCCCAGTACAAACTCATTTCCTTACAGGTGTCAGATACTGGGTATCCAGAAGAAATGAAAGGTGCCCAAGTGACCTTCGTGGCTGGTCATTCAGGACTTGATGAACTGACAGAAGAGAAATCCCTTAGAAACCATGGCCTTGCACACCCAGGCAGGGCAAGGACAAGGCAGGCGTGCGCTGGATGCATATCCAACCCAGGCACCCTCCAGGGATGAAAGCTGCGGAGTTAGAAGGTGGTTTATCTGTATCAGAAGACAGATAAGAAGGGGATAAGCTGTCAGCAGGTAGGCAGTATGGAAGGAGGGTTGAAATGAGAAGTCCAGCTAATATCCAAAGAGCTACACAACTCCATATGGACCTAATGAAGCCAAGGCATAAAAGTGAGATTCTTTTTCATTAGGGAGCCATACCACGGAGCAGTGGTAACATATGTTCAGCGATGGCCACATCTGCTTCTGAATGTCTGCCCCCCACCTCCTCCACCCAGGAAGGTTACAAGTCAGAAAGTAGTGATAAGTCATGATAATTGCTCGAGTTTGGCTTTGGCTCTTCTCCCTGGGGAATGAGACCTCTAATCTCTCTTCCTGATGGGCTCCTTGACCCAGCTTTCATCTTCTGACCCTTCCTGAAGTATCTACATTGGCCAGACTGACTGAGGTGCAACCTGATAGAAGATGGTCTTCCACAGTAGCAAATATGTTCTTGCTGCTTTCCCCCAGTATGGCTCAAGAGGGAACCAGGGCAAAATTTTCTTACTGGTCATGAAAAGAAAAGATGAATCCCAGGAAATCAGATGTCCCAGTTTCTGCTACATTTATTATAAACCAGCATATATGTGGCCTTAAGGTCTTCTTTTATTATAGTGTAGCATCAAAAGGTGGCCTAAATGTGGACTCATGAATGCCTTTGGCAGAGTTTCTGTGCTATCAAGTACCTGCAGTTAAATGTGACTGTTTGAGCTTAATTCCCTCACCACTAACAAGCTCACAAGGACACCAGTTTGCAAGACAGAAGAATTTAGAGCTCCGATGATCCACTTCCCACAATTTTCATGTCTGAACCACACACTCCCCACCTCAGAAAGGCTCCTGAAATCTCTGTTTGGGAACCATCAGCCTCACTCCCCAAAACAAAGCAGTCTTCACGTTCTGTTGCCGTTTGTTGCTGATGCTTCTGCTGGTGCGTCTCAGGGGATCGCTCATCACTCGCTGTGCACGATGTCTCCAAACACAAAAGGGAAATCTGGATGCAGAAAGTACTGTTAAAAGTTGTGATGGAAACAGTGAGTTCTGGAAAACATAATTGTTTCTCTCTTCACTTGAAATGCCAAGACATGAAAGCATTTCTGCTTGCCGAGATAGGTGGATGAGCTGTTGTTTCATTGCAACGCACACAGATGCAGTTAAATAGTCCCAGATGGAATCTGAAATATTCCATAGCAGCCTCTTGGGCAGCGAGTGCATTAACTGCCACAGGAGAAGGCTGTAAAGGCTCCCATCTGGTCATCCATCAACACTTTTATACATTATCATCAGCAGCCTGCTTGGAGGGAAGGTGTGCCACATTTCTGAAAATCCAATTAGATGATAGCAGCCAGTTCTCTTTTATCCCCTCTGTTGCTGAGCCATCCAAAGCATTTTTTTAGATTAAAGAAACATCATTTTCCTTCATGGGGTCTGTACTACTTTATCTCTATCGTGACCTGTTCTTTTATGTGCTTTATAATTCTATTATTAATTAGGATTTCAACCCTTTTCCTGCTACTGAAGTGGGACTCACTAGTTTGCAATTCCCAGATCTGCCTTATGCCTCTTTTTTTTCCTGGAGTGATATAATTGCCACTCTTCAATTTGTTGATAGTTGCTCTTTTGAGAAGAGATAAGTTACTGTGGCCTGTCAGTGGCAGGGTTTGATGCCAGTCCTCTCCCTTACCCTGATGGATCAAGTTGCTTTGACTCAAGGTATGCAGATGTTTCTGTTGTGACTCTCAACACCTCAAGCTGGGATGAGACATCCTCTTTTATATCCCCATTTTCTTTGAGAAGTTCAGAGGTTTGTTGCTGTAGAATTGTTTGCAAAGCATGGAAAACTCCCAAGATCTCCAGAAGTAATCCTAGCAGTGTTACCTTAAAAGAAAAAAATTCCCTCTGGTTTGGGCTTTATATAAAGGATATTTTAATGGCAAGACTTTAAACTTTCAGGTAAATAATTAGTGTTTTCTCCAACATAATTTTTTTTTCAGGCATTACATGCTGAGGACGAGCACTTTGATATAGTCTTTATTGATGCTGATCAAAGGAATGCTGTTCACTACTACAGCTTTGTCATGGATAACCACTTGCTGAGAATGGATGCAGTGATCTGTGTAGAGAATACACTCATGAAAGGACAAGTCTACCTGGAGAATGTATCAGATGAAAATGTACTAGCTGTCAGAAAATTAAATTCAGTGATTAATTCAGATCCTCGTGTTGAGCAGGTTAGTGCAATGCCATTGGTTAAGGTGCCCGTGGTGCTGTATCTATGGATTTTGCAAAGCACTCTTCAAAATGTTTCTTTTGTTGGTGCCATTATCCAGAGGACCTAAAATGAACTCAGATTTTATTGTCATTCACCTCACTTGAGCTCTAGGTATGAGTTTCTATATTCAGGGACAGTCCCTACTCTGTCTACATCTTACAGAGTGTTAAAGGCAAGATAAAAGGGGAGCACTTAAGAGTGAATAATCAGCTCTACAGCACAACCAAGGAACCACCACTCTGCTTTAAAGGCTCTGGGGGCTGCAGGGCACCACCAGCACAACAGGAGTCAACAAAGTCCTACTCCAGCAGGGAAGGAAAAAAAAAAAAAAAGTAATAGGATGCACAAACAATATACTGTGGTTTCAGAGGCAAAATTAAATAGATATCCTTCAGGGCTTTAAAAGCAGGTGTGAATGGTGCTACCCCAGGACAGAAGCTCACCCTCATGCCATGGCTGCACCAGGGTGGCAGAGGGGCTGCTGTGGTGGTTGGGAAACACCAAGGATGGCTGGATCCCTGTCTGCCCTCCTGCAATGTAAGGCTGGGCTCATGGTGGGACAGGACACCTCCCACACTGCCCCCTGCCACAGCTCTCCACGGCACAGAGGTGTGCAGCTCGTGCCCAAAGTGTTTTGGTGTCTCTCAGGCTAAAGGTCTTTCTCTACCTGCAGGTCAGACACCTCTAAAGGTACCTCCTGCGGTTCTGTTTCTATTCTATTCAGCACAACTAATAGAGGAGCAACAGCCTTTGTTTGTAGATGAGGGGAAGATTAATCACAGTTTTCCATGCCCCAAATCTCACTGGTCTCTGTTCACTGTATGTAAATAGCGTGTGGGTTCCATATCCAGTCTTCTAACACTGTGATAGTGGTGTTGAATTTGCAAAACTGAGTGCAGGTTTCCTCATGATGATGCATGTCCTGCACCCTCATCTGTGTGCGAAGGACAGATGTTGTATCAAATGCTGAAGAACACCAAAGTATTGCTGTTGTGGTTTACTGTAATACTGGACTATCCTCTAGACAGCCTTATCCAGGCATTGGAAACCCAGCAACCTCAGCAGCTGGCACTGATCTAGAAACTGGAGAGATGAAACTGAGATTTTTTTTCCTGGGATTTGTGGAGTCAAGGAGTTTGAAAGTGAGCAAATAGAAATGCCTGACGTATTTGTGTTGGAAGGAAGTTCACGTAAGAATAGAAGTACTGTGGCCTGAGGGCTGTCCTTCATATCAGTGGAATTTGGGTGACAGAAAGCCAAGCACAAAGCAGCTGAGAACTGTATGTGCATTATATTTTCAGGTAATTTTACCTGTGCAGAGTGGACTGAGCGTCATTCGAAGGATCCCTGTACCTCCAGATGCAGTGATTGAATCCAAGGTGGGTATTTCCTCTCTGTGAGTACTTCTGGGAAACTTTTGACTCTGCTGAGGACAAGGACAATATAATTTTCAAGGATTTAGTGGCAAGAACCCAAACACATTGTGCTGTTCATCATGGACTTACCACCTTAGGGCTTGGCACTTTTCAACCTCACTTGTCCAGGCTACACTAAATGCTGATTCCTTGCAAAGTCTTTTGGATCAGCTGGTCCTGTGATGAATCTCCAAAGTGGCTGTCATGCTGCTCACTGGATGTCTGTACCTGATGCTCTCCCATCCTTCCCATGCAGGGGAATGTGGGCATATGGAGCTGAGGCCCAACTGTAATGAACCCACACAATATTTCTGAAGTAGCTCTTTTTTTGCCCAAAGGCAGCACACGATGCCCTCTTATGCTCTCTGAGCTGAATATTTTCATGGCCTTGGATTTTGCTTGTCCTATGGAAAAGACAGAGATTTTATCTTTCTCCATTTTATGCAGTGGGCATCACCCAGCTGTAATGAAATTCCCATCTGGAATCCTAATGGCCTAACTCAGTAAATCCAGACTCAAACATCCTGATTGTTTTGCAGTTTCTGTTCTGAGTGCTCCCAAAGCTACGCCCACTGGTAATTCCTGGCATTTCAAACTCAGTATTTTAAACATCTTGTATTTTCCATTTTGATTCCAGTTAGGGGGAAATGATGTATGGCAGCTGATCAGATGACAGCTTGGTTTAAGTTATTGGCTGATATCTTTATTTGCGCACCAGCCTTGTGAAGATATTTTGATTGCACTCTGCTTGAGCAAAATCCTGACTTTGGAATCTTGTCCTGTGTCTTCCTGGAGCCAACTGAGCCTGAGGCAGGATTGGGCCCTGGGGGTAAAATAACTGGAAGACTTAATCAGTCAACTTCTAAGGCAATGTACCTGATCCATTTCCCTGGGAAGCCAGGCTGGGAAATGCCATACCCTACTGTCATGAAGTGGGGTGGTCAGAGCATCTCCCCAAAGCACAGCCCTTCTGCTCCGTTGTCTGGCATTTAATGCTCCTTTTGAGACTAATATTGGCTTGAATTAGTCCTATGTTTTGTATTAATTAACAGGCCAAGAAGACGTGGATCCCTTTTCACGCTCCCGCCTCGTTCTCACAGGGAAGTCCTTCACAGCTCTCACGTCGTGAGCTCTGCCCCTTATTGTGCAATGCGTGTATGTTTTGTTTCAGGAAGAAGTGGTGAGGGATGATGTTTTCTGGGGCTATAACAGGCGGTGCATCCTGGACCGGCTGCGTTTGGACGGCAAGGTGGCCTATGTGACCGGCGGCGGGCAGGGCATCGGCAGAGCCTTCGCCCACGCGCTGGGGGAGGCCGGGGCCAAAGTGGCCGTCGTGGATCTGGTCCTTGCCAAGGCAGAGGCGGTGGTGAGTGAGCTCAGCCTCAAAGGTAAGCGTGGGACAGACCTTTTGTGAGCACTGACACAGGTGACTTTCCTTCTTCAAACCTGGCCTGCTCTCTGCAGCTCTGATGGGGAATAGGTTGGAGCAGAATATGTTCATGCCATGGTCATGAAGCTTCTCCTGCCCTGTGGGCGTTGTCTCAGCCGTCATCAGTATGACATCATCTGCAAGAGTTATTTATCAATATAAACTTAACTAAGGGCAAAGGGACCCAAATAAAATTCCTTGCCAAGGGTGCCCAAAGGAAACACAGCAGTGAGCCGTGAGTGACAGGGACAGAGAAGGGTCACCCCTTGCAAGTGATATCTGTATAACCAGCACTGGACAAATAGAGATGGTGTTTCTCAGAGTAAATCATGCAGCACCTTGGGCTTCACTAAGGATGAATGACAGACATGGCTTACAAATTCATATATCCCTTCCCTGGCACCTCTTCCACACCTAATGTCTGGACCATGAGCCAAAACACCAAAACAAGGTAGATGTGTTGTCAATCTGAATTTCTCATTACACCCTCAAACTGAAGCAAAGTAATTTTTGAAACCCTCTTTTAAACATACTTGCAAGGTCAGATATAGGAATAAAATATTAATAGATGTAATAACTAAGATCCCCAAGAAGAGGTAACATCCTCTACAAGCCACTTCTGTTGTAAAAACAGAAAATGTAACATAAAATTGAATTTCCCCCTATAGTCGTGATAAACTGCAATTGTAAAGGGGAAAAAGAAAACTAGAAATATAATTTTAATGATAAAAGAAAGGAAGTATTCCTCATTTTATAATTCCTTTTGTGAGATTGTACCTGAGCCTCCTTCAAAGTTCAGTACTTCATTGTCTCTAAAGGTAGAGCTTTAGCCAGGAAATTTTCACATTCCCATTTTGGATAAAATCAGCAGTATTTGTTTCCATTCTGACTTCCAAAAGAGATTGGGTCATTAGAAACCATATTCTCCATCAAAGCCAGCCCCTGCAGATGCATTTGTATCATTGAGGCTCAGGAAGGGTGAGCAACGATGCATTTCTGGTTTTGACACCCTCCTGAGCCTCCCCAGGGAACTTCTAAAACCAAAATGTCCCTGTCTGCACGATCCCAGCTCTGGTAAGCAGGAGACACTTTACACCGAGCATCAGTGCAATGGTTAAAGCTCTGATCCCAAATAACGAGCTAGAATAGAAAGTGTTCAGTTCCTATTACAAATTCTTGAGTCATCCAGTGCCCCCCCCTCCTGAAGCTTGTCATTCCCTTATGCACCAAAGCCATATGGCCTTGGCACAAAGTAGCTTTGCCCTCCACGTTAACTTGCCTTTTGGACATTTTTTTCCCCCGTGAGATCCTGCATATCAAGCAGAGCTATTGAGATAGAAATGGGCTACTTGACAGAGCCATGAGACTTTGGATGCCAACAGCCTATTGGAAAGCTAACTTAACTTATCTCCAGGGCATTTTTCAGTAGGAGTTTGATCATCCATCCTTCAATGGCTGCCCTACATCTCTGCTCCTTCAGCAGTGGGTTGCAAGCCCGGAGGAGGTGGGAGGAGGGGGGTGTTCCAAAATGCAGTCAGAGAGGTCACAAGGCATAGCAAATATTATTGCAGTCTAAAGTAAAGAAAATCTCACTTCTCACTCTTTACACATCTTTATCCTTTGAGGTCAAATATTATCTATCAACTTGACCAGTGCAGCTGGTCAGGGCACATCTATTCCATCTCATGACGGTTTTTGAGGTTTCAAATTTATTGTCATTCCCTGTTGGAACAAAACCCAAACTTTGTAATGCTTTTGTGAAAGGGAATTATAACCAAATGCCCGTTTTTGGAAAGGATCTGAAAAGGTCAGGTTTTCAATCTCTTTCTCTCCAGAGGTAGCTAGAGAGTCTAGCCTGGACCTCAGAAGCTTTTCCTTTAAAACTTTTGTTGAAATCAATATATTTCCATGAAACATTTTGGCTTCAAAGAAGTAACGTGCTCTGTTGGAAATAAATTTTGACAAAAAGGTTCAGCCAGCTTTACTCTGAAAATATTCACATGAGTAAATTGAAGCAATTGTAATATTAATACATATTTTTCCTGCTATAATAAGGACAAAGGAGCTATGACTTTTTTTTTTCCCTTCTAGGGTTGTAGAAATCTCTAAATCAAAGTTGGAAATGCAGTGCCCGAAGTCATTCCCTTACTGATACTTTTTCAAAACATTTTGCTTAGATTGCTTAGAGCTTTTCTGCTTCTTATACCAAGGAGTCCTTTACTGCCTTTTGGGATGGTGCCATCATTTCATGATGAGTTTTAAACATCAGAACCTCTGTGATCTCAGTTTTAGCTTTGTTAGACAGCTCGGGTGTATGTCCCTTGGCTACGGGGGTCTTTGTTTTGAGATCCTGTGTGAATACCTTTTTCAACAGTCGCTAATGGAACCTGACAGAAGAACCAAAAATGATGAAACATAACCAAAAAATCCTAAGGGTTACCTTCCACTACACACACCTCTGTCTTCAGGGGGAATCGCTGCCTCTACCCTAAGGGAAGAATTAGTCTGATGGGATTTTTAAAATGTGCATTTTCACTGTAAACTATGCAAATGCCTTCTGCAATGTCACTCCTGATCTTCCTGCCTGTATGCAACATGTTACTTCCATTTATACTGTGAGGCCAGAGACGAGTCCTGTGGCAGGGGGACGTGTACATGTCCCCTGCAGAAGGGCACCTCGGGTGGATTTGGCATATTGGTGTCTCTCCAACGTGTACAACTGGGCTCCTCTCCTGCCCCTCTCATCACAAAACTGCCTCCACAAGCATCACAAAACTAAACTGAGGGCTGTTGAGAGGCACTGGTTCTGTCATCCATGCAGCAACATGGGCACGTGTTCGGTTTCTTCTCTCTGGTTGTGTCTATAGAGTTGAAGCTATTTTTCCACAGTTTATTTATTATTTTTAACAGGTTGTTTGGGGAGACAGTGGAGAGAGAGAAAGTGGTTTTTTTTCCCCTCTCTCTGAGTGCAGGGACATCAGCTGAATTGATTAAGGTCAAATGTGGGACTCTGGTTTGAAGTGAGTGTGTCTTCACTGCTTCTTCGCTAGACACTCACGCGTGGCACCTTTTGTCTTGTTTTTATGAACTATCTTATAAGATGAAGCTGTAAATGGGGGTGAGAGTTGGAGGGCAGGTGAAGAGTCTCTCTGTTACTATTAGTAACACGCTTGCACCCGTTTTGTCTGTAAATTGAGAAAGAAAGATTGCAGCAACTCCTTGCACGTTACAGGTCTTGATAACAATTAGGAGGAGCAACGGGGGCTGTCTGGCTATTCTTATTCTTTCAACATATTTAGCATAAAACCTGCGATAAAATAAGAGGTCTTACTTTTGTGGCAGAACGTGCATTCATTTTTTTAGTTGGCTGTATTATTTCTCTGCCATGGAAATCAAGAGGGCTGTGTCATTGCTGAAGGGGACAGGAGCTCCCATGGCTCGGGGTGGGGAGCACCCCAGAGCAGCATCACCTCAGGAGCTGCACTCTGGCAGGCTCCTGAAGGCATTGGAGATGAGGAGGAGCGTTTCCATCCAAAAGTCTCTTTCCCGACATTTTCTTCAAGCACCACTGGGCAATCACTGCTTTGCCTTGCCTTTGCGGAACCCTCCATCTCAAGCTTCATTTTGGGAGAGTCTCCTATTCTCCTAGAATAGGCTTAAGCCTTCTTTTAAATGCTTTATCAGAGTGATCTGGAAGAGGAACCAAGGGAAAAATTTTTTCCATTTTTATAGAATAAAATAATCTTGCTTTAACAGCTGTAACTTCTTACCTGTGCACTCTTTGCTTGCAGATTGCTGATCCAGGGTCCAACCCCAGTCGCTGCCTCCCTCCTGAGTTAAGACCCATTTCACCACTGCCCTTACTGGGGTAGCTTTCTGGATGGGTATAATCCCATTCACATCAGGTGCCTCAGCAGGCTGCTTATGGTGTTTAATAACAAGGGTATATAAAGCTGATCTTTATAATAAATTAAATGATGTTATTTATGGATCAGCACTGGTGCAAAAGTCAACAGCTGGATGTTTTGATGAAAGAATCACTATGGCATGTTTAAAATATGGTAAATATCTTAAATTCTGACTGTGCTATTCTGGCAGTGTGATTTGCAATAAATAAGGCCAGGCAATGTGACTACCATATCTGTGCACCTGCAGATATTCCCAGTTAGCTCTCCCACCTAAAACTGGTTCGGTTTTGTCTGAGGCTTCCAGCTGTCTGGGTGCTGTAGTTCATCCAGAGAGCACTTTTGGGACAAATTAATTTGATTTCTGGAGCATCTCAGGGGGACATGGCATAAAAAAAAGCATCTGTAGAGCTGCTGATGGATGGGAAAGCTGCAGTTGAGGGTTTGGACAGAAGATGGTGCAGTGTTCCAAGCTTCGTCCTGCTGGAGTGGCAGCCTTCACTCCCACACCTGGGCTTTAGGTTGGTCTCCAACAGGCAAACCTCTCACCAGTCAGAAACTTTATAATAACAGTATTGCAGTAACAAACTCATGCTTTGCTACGAGTTGTGCAGCAGTGAATGAAGTTGCAGTATAAGCAATACATTTATGTATAAAAAATACAGCTATATATAAAATATCTCTACAACACATTGGTAAACAATCATAAAATAGATATTTTTTTCTTTCCTTGTGAATTCCTGTACTAACTAACTCATTGCTCTTATGTTAACACAGGGATTAAAAGCCTTGCCCTGGCAGTGGATGTGAGCAAGCCCGAGGATGTGCAGAGGATGGTGGATGCAATCGTGGCTCGCTGGGGCACGATTCACATCGCGTGCAACAACGCAGGAATCAATCTGAACTCTGCAAGTGAAGAGACTTCCCTGGAGGAATGGGACAAAACTTTCAGTGTTAATTTGCGAGGATTATTTTTGTGCTGTCAAGTAAGTGTGAAATGCTGCACTGATTTGTTTTGCAAATGGATAATAGTTTTCTAAGTACTTACTTTATCAAGGCTTAATAACACTTTATTACTAATTATCCTAATAAAATTGGTCCTAGTTTGGGTGGAGCTAAGGAAAGACTTGCAGATTTCAATGACAGATTTTGGTCAACGTTTTCAAAAGTAGGTGGTACTTACTGGCTGCCCAAACCCAGGCATTTGAGAATGGCCAAAATTTTTGAAGGGTCATTATTTGAGGCATCCTGAAAACCAAAAAGCTTTGTGGGGGCAGTCCCAAAATTAGCGACTATTTTGAAAAAATACTGCCAAGAGTGAAGAGGTGCGAAATGGCAAAGGGATTTTTCCTGCATCAGCCATTTTTATACCAAGTTTTTATATCAAGTGCTTAAAAAAAAAAAATGTGTTAGCACATCAACTCTCCTGAAAAGTGAAGACTAATTTATTATCATGTCATTATTAGCACAATCACAGAAAGGGTCACTGGTCTTTCCTTTAATTTCTGTCACAGGCTGCAGGCCGCATTATGCTGAATCAAGGATATGGGAAGATAATTAACACAGCATCTATGGCAAGTTTAATAGGTGAGTGATGAGAGCTAACAGTTGTGCTTCAGAATCCATATTTTAATTACTACCGATGCTATTTGAATCAATTAAACCTGTATTGGGAAGGAGTAAATCACTGACATTTCATATTAGAGGAAATGTACTACAAAATTTTTATTGATATCATTTTTCAACATTTATCTGTCCTCAATGTTTTAGAGCTCTTATTTCTTTTTATAGAAGAGGTGGAGTCACCTTCTCTGACTCCATTGCATGGATGGCATGGGAAAGGTGCTGGTATCCCCCTCATTGTTCCAGGCAAACTCCTTTGCTGTGTGGGAAGCTGAGCCTCTGAGGTGTTTAAAAGCCACCCAAAAGGTTTTGGGCCAGTTTTTGCCCCAGTACCCACGGGGTTTTATAACACTGCTGCTACCAACAGGTGCCTGCACCAACGCTGCTGAATCAGCAGTGCCATCAAAAGCGCCAATAAACCATTGTAACATATGGAATGAAATCCCTACCGCTGAGCTAATCTGGAAGGCAGTTACATGCTGGTGAGCTGAAGCCCATGTAACAAAAATTGATCAATTACACAAATTAAGCATAGCCCTTTAGGAATTTATTTTATTGGTCTGGACATCTGTTGCAGTATTGTCCAAATCCAAAAATCAAATGGTGCCTTGGGTTGCCAAGTTAGGCAAGAAAATCTAGTAGCTATAAAAGTACAACTGAAAACCCCTGTATTAATATCATGTCCATCTGCTGAATGTTACATAAGTATGCAGTCTTTTTATTTTCCTTTGGAATAACGTTTATTTTTACTGTGCCCAGTTTGACATTCTATGACATTCTGCTCAGTTTATTGCACAGTAACTTTAAATGTTTCTTCAAAATCCATTTACAATGTTGTTGTTAATATTTTTTCAAGTGTCTTTACCAGCTGTTTTACTTTTGCCTAAACACAGGCACCATCCCTCTGCCCCAGCTTTGTAAAGTTACAAAATCTCACAAAGAAAGGTAGTTTTTAAAAGAATGGAAGGCTTTAAATTTCAAATACACCAGGCTTTCCTGCTTTGCACTGTGCAGTCGGGCTCTGGTCTGTGCTTGGCTGTCACCATCCACATCACTATCACCAAGCAAAATTTCCTGGGAGGTATTCCACCCTGGAGAAAGTTAGGAAGCTCTGGGAATTGGCACCAAACGGGGATCTGCTGGTTTGGCACACTGCTCCCAGTCTCACTGCAGCCCAGCAATGGTCTCCGCTGCTTAAGGAGAGGTGTTTTCCAACTTTTCCATCGGGCCTTGGCACGGCTCTGCTGAGCTGGGAGGTGATGCCATTCCACCACTGCATCCATCCCAGCCCAGCTTTGGGGCTGCACCTCCTTGGCTGGTGAGCAGAGCCCAGAGATTCACCTGGGGATCACATTTGAGGGAGTACTGCTCTGGAACAGGAATGAATATTGGAAAGCAGCCCCGAGAGCAGCCTGGAAGGGTCGTCCCAAGATGCATTTAAATGTCAGTAAAAGTTAATGTGTGCTAGGCCAAAAGTTAAGAGATGAAGAGATGTGTTTACCTTCTGAACCTGTTTGAATCTTGGCATTGAAATAATCTAGTAGTTATGAAACTACAACTGAAAACCACGATGTTCATATCATGTCCATCTGCTGAATGTTAAATAAATATGTTGGTTGGTTGGTTATTTAAGTATGTTGGCCAACTGGCATAGTATGAAATGTTTCTAGAAATAGTTAGGGGATATTTTTTTTGTTGTTGTTGTAGGTTGAGTCCTTCCTCAGAGATACAGGAAAATGAGGAGACACTTAGCAGGATAGGGAGGTTTTTGTTTGTGATTTTTTTCCAGATTCACTGCTCAGAATCAGTTTTAATTAATTGAAGATAAGCTGCATACATTTTGCATATGTGCATTTTGATTCTGGTACTTCACTGGAATTATTCCAGACGTACGCTCCAGCAGCGGCGGCTCAGCTGCTGCGGCTCGGCGCTTCACACAGGTGTAACTCAGAGCTGTAATTTTTACAGTGAATATCTTTAGTGGTAAGTGGTCTGCTCTGCTCTGCTCTGTCTGTGTGCACCTCTCATTAGCATTACGTGGCTGCTTCAAGGTCAGCCTGGGAGCCTGATGCACCGAATGAGGTTGCAAAACCAGAGCGTCAGGTTGTTGTGGTTTACACCCCACAGCCCTTTGCTTGCTCCCCCACTGGGATGGGGGAGATAATCTGGGAAAAGAGGTAAAACCTGTGGTTGGCATAAAGATGGTCTATTGGGACAGAGAAGGAAGGGAGAATAATAATAAGAATAAAAGAATACATGAAACATATGATGTACAGTGCAGTTTCTCACTGACCAATGCCCAGTCAGTCTCCCGAGCCAACTCCCCCTAATTTTATTGTCCAGCATGATGCCATATGATCTGGAATATCTCTCTGGCCAGCTGGAGTCAGTCATCCTGGCTGTGTCCCCTCCCAGCTTCTTGTACCTGCCCCAACCTCCTCGCTGGCAGGGCAGCACAAGAACTGAGAAGGCCTTGATTTAGAGCAACAACTAAACAATGAGTGTGTTATCAACATTATTCCCACCTTAAATCCAAAAATCTGTAGCAACTACTGGGAAGAAGATTAACTCTATCCCAGCCCAAACCAGGACACAGGTGTTTAAAACATAATGCAGCTGATGCTGGCAGAATATCTTCTTCCTGCTATCATCTCAATCTTAAACAGGAGTGAGTGCCCTTGCTTCCCAGAGGCCTTAACAATTCAGATTTTTTTGGTGACACTGCTGAAGGCATAGCTTCATTCACAAGCTCTAGCCCTGTTTTGCATGAGTTTGAAGGGTTGCAGATTTGCTCTTCTGTCTGTAAGAGACCACTGTAGGTAAGGGGAGAGGAGGTGGTGTGGGGTGCTGAGCTGCAGAAAGCCCATCCAGTGGCAGAGCCTTGCAGCACCTGTTGGCTTCTTCTTTAGCTTTTCCAACAGAGAGGGACCAAGTGTCTCAGGAGGTAACTCCTGGAGTCACCTTGCTTAGATATTCTTATAAAGACAAAAGCGTTTACAAGGAAGGACTCTCGAAAATCCTGTATCGACACACACCCCAGATCAGAAGCTGATTCTCGTAGCTTGCAGTAACTTGTTCTCACCCACATGCAGAGCTGGTGCCAGAACTCCCATCCTCTTAGCAAACACCAAATGATTTATCACAGAGAGACATGTTTGGAAAGTTTAGCAAAGAACTGCTTTTGGGAGGTTACAAGGTTAACTACCGAAGTTGTGTGTAACTTGGAGCTGGTGCGTGGCAATTAATCAAGAAATTACATTCCACATCTTTTTGAGAGCCCCCACATCGTGCTGCGTCGGGGGGCAACAGGCACACACAGAGGGCAAAGCAGTTCTGCTGGTCAAAATGCAAAGTATTTCATATTGAACAAAAAAGAATAAATGTTGGCAGAGGAGGGCCATGGTGTGTAATGCTCTTTGTAGCAAGGAAAAGACCTCTGAATTCTGAGCAAACCTTCAGCACATGCAGAAAAAGAAGAGAAATACTAATTATTGCTCCCATCACATGTGTGCTTTAAATCTATTCACAACCATCTATGTTCAAGGCAAAGGTCCTTGTTCACATGCTCAGTAATTTGCAGCGGGGCTTTAGGCTCTTTCAGAGTTCAGATAACTCAGTCATCATCTTCTTTCCACCCTTTACATTGACATACGCAAACCCAGTAGTTTTAGTCAATAGAAGCAGTAGTGGGTGTGTTGGGATGCCATGGGTGGGAGTGATCTAGAGCTGATGCATCAACTTAATTTATTAAGACCAATCTAATGCCATCTACCAGTGCTGCTTGGGTGTTTTTGTGCTGTGAGTTGGGGTTTGCCTGCTGAACCTTACACAGTTGCAGTGATTCCCTTTCTCCCAGGGTTCAGTGTTATCCAACCCCACAGGCTGGAATTGCCTGCCTTTGTGACTACTGATTTTTAGCCCTGCTTTTCCCCACTGTCCCTCCATGACAGTCAGCAACTCAGTGGCACTCAGCACTGATATGGAGCTAATTAAGGATTGGTGCTTTGCACTGGATTTGTTTAATGAAGTCCTAATGGCAGCCAGAAAAGTCCAAGGAGAGACACTTTGTGAGTGTAAATCCCAACAGCTGGGCTGACTTGGTTTGACTCCCATGGGTTTAAAGCACTTTACACCCACTGGGGATTTGTCCTTAAGTAGCTTTCACGGAGCTGGTGAGGGGCAGAGCCAGTGAGCACACAGCACTAACAACCTTGAACATTGTAATTAGCAAGCCGATCATTTTCTGTCTCTGACTGACATGTGACATCTCTGAAACATTCTCAAAAGCTTCAGATTTTGAAAGTGGTGGGTGTTCTGAATTTTTGGGATGCACCTGTGATCACATCCACACAAACACCAGTTAGCTATTGTGATGTATTTTCTTCAGACTATGGATAATTTAAAAATTAGGGAGAATAATTTGTTCCGAAAGCTATTTATAATATGTTATATAAAATCTATTATGCACTTATATCATATAATGTCATATCAAACAATTTAATATGTTGCATTACATTATAACATACCACATAATGTACTATATATATTATAAATAACGTTATGTATTTTAATAGAAAACCACATAATATATTATTAATTATGTAATATATTAGAATTATACTATATTAGTATTATAGTGCACAAGTATATAAACACATATATGTGTATAATATATGAATGTGTGCATGTGTATGGTTATTTACCTTTCTTGGTAGCAGCCAAGTATTGCATATCGATGTTTAATACATTGGGTTTGGCTTTGCCCAAATATGGGACCTTTTAAATTTCTTTCTTTATTTTCATTTTTGCCATACATATTTAGAGTTTTGCATTGTGAGTGGCCAAATTCTTACTCTTCCCTACCTACCATCGGGGAAAATGCCGAATAGTTCATCTCAGTGCAGGGAATTGTCCGTGCAGTGCCTGAGCTGTCTTAATTTGGGCAGAATAAATAATTTTCTCTTTCTGAACCCCTTGCAGTCCCGCACCCACAGAAGCAGTTGGCTTACAACGTCTCCAAAGCCGGGGTGGTAAAACTAACACAGACGTTGGGAACCGAGTGGGTTGACAGAGGAGTAAAAGTCAACTGCATTTCCCCGTAAGTAAAACACAGTCTCATTCTGAAACAACAAAGGGAATGAAATGTTCCACAAAGCTCATTTGAACACTATCTCAGCAAATAAAGTTTCTAATTAGCAGGTGGATTGCATCCCTTTTTATGTTGCCTTTTCCTTAACAAAGGTTTAAATACTTAGAACCAAGCCTGCTCGGTTGCTGTGTATACTCAGGGATTTAAGGAGAGGTTTTAGAATCTGATAATAGGTTTTCCAATAATGTGAAGGGTAGTTTTTAGCATTTCTCTTCTACATGAAATATTTCCTTAGTCTGTCCAAGCCTTCTGTGGTTAAAGAAAAGGTTTTTGACACTTAATAGACAATACTTCTTTCCCCTTTTCGCTTGAGGCAAATATATAGGCGCTTTAAAAGCTGCATTGTGTTGCTGTAGTTGAGCTACTGTTCAGCTCTGACAATCACAGGAGGCCAGGTGTAGTTTTGTAAATATATCTATATATTTATTACAAATTAAATTTTCCTTATTTTTAGGGACTTCAAGCTCTATGTTTTATGGTATTTATTCACAATGGAAAGTTTTCTTACTAGATATACATCGTCTCTTCCTGTTTCTCACACACATACCCAGCCCAGTCATTTCATTAAACAATTAGCAGTGCATGATAGTGCTGAGCAGAAAGCCGAGTGGGTAGCGTTAATTGGAAGCGGTCAAATTCTGTAGACCATTGAAGTCAATCAGAGTAAGTAAGAAGGGCAGGATTTTAACCCAGGAGTTAAATTGTAATAATGAAGATAATAATGTACATCAAATTAGGGAAAACAAATTACATATTTTAATCCACAAAGTGGAGTGAAAAAAAAAATAAAAAAATCACAGACCTCAATGGCAAGTGCCTCTGTTTTTACTGTTGGTCTGCTCTCCCCTCACTTGTGCTAGCTGTCTGCCTTATGATTATTTATTACTAATTATACCAGTGGCTCCAGCCATCACTCCATGTGATCCACAGATTCTTTCAACAGCATCTTACTTCCTAATGGGATTTTCCCCATGCCAATGCTAGCACCACTGTTATAGTGTTCCCACAACTGGCACTAGTGAATTTACACTGGCTTTTGGGAGTCGGAGGAGATGAAGGGAATTAGGGAAGCTCAGCAGGACCTGGCAGGAATTGTGTCTGAAAACACACAGGTAATCTGTACCAACAGAAGTGGGAGCCACATTCACAGCAATTACAGATGAGAAGGCTCTTAGAGGAGGAATAACCCAGTTTGAGGGGGCTTACATAAATTAAAAAAATAGACACCAATTGTCAAAATGCCTTGTTTTGTACAATTTGGGATCATACACTCATACTTGAAGAAGTTATGTCCCTGGAGGCAGTTGCAAGAGCATGGAGAAAAAAATAGTCGTGTTTCTCTTTCTACTTTTCAGACCAAAAAAGGGTTGCATTTTGATCATCCCTCCCTATCTTAAACTCTAACTCTGTGCTCAAAATCCTACAACAGGAAGGGGTGTTTCTTTGTGGAGAAATAGCCAGGAAGGGCACACAGAGGACAAACATTTTGCTGACTTTGAGGTCCTTTGTTCTGGACAGAGCAGTTTCCCCTAATGCAGCTGGGAACCTGGACTGATCCACTCCAGAGCTGGACAGTTTTCCTCCTGGCAATTCAAAGCTGTGGCTGAGCCCCTTGTGGCAGGGCTGTCCTGTAGAGCTCTGAGCAGCATTCAGAGGAAGGAGCCTGTAGTGATTCACAGAGCTCAGATACCCCATCAACATAAGCAAGAGCCATATATGCTTCAGAGTGAATAACTACTCATGTTTACCTTTCTTCCTGTGTGAGATGTGAAACTGCATTTCAGTGCAGATTTGGACCCATTCCCAGAACTGTGGACCCCACCAGGATCATTGTCTCTTGATGTGACTCACCAAGGCACAGGTATCTTCAACCTCTTGATCTGAGTACCCAAGGCTGGGCAGGAGCCACAGTGCAACAGCACATGTGTCAATGCCATTGTAGCTGGAACATCTTCCAAAAGCACAAGTCTTGCTGAACATGGATGTCCAACCTAGCACATAGTCATCTTATAATGGCAGAGGATTTTGAGGAGTTTGAGGAGCACAGATGTAGATATAGGGTGTGATGGTACCTCAGGATCATCACTGGATAAGTAAAATATCTGTGTCCTTAAGTACTTTACCTCTCCCACTCATGGTTGCATTAATGCTTCAAGGCACTCTGAGCCTGTCTCTGTCTGAAGGTCCAAATGCTCCAGTCTGGCCTTAGACATTATTTCACCACGCAAACCTTCTGGCCTTTTCCCCCTCTTCCTATCTGGTCACTTTTTATCAACTTAATTTCTTAATGAGTGCATAAAACTTATGCAGAGCAATGCATAAAAGTTAGCAATGCATAAAATGTTATGGCAGAGTTCTTAGGATGATTTATTGCATTTATGAAATTGAAGATTCAGGCTTCTCTTGCTGGCCAAGCAAGCCTGGGGAGAAGGTGGCTGAGACTCCCTGGATGTTTTGGCTGACTTATCCTGTTGCTATCGTGGAAACTGCGCTCAGCCCTTCTGCCCACCCAGTGCCATCGCCTGTGACCTGCTGAACAGCTGATGCCAACAAAATTAATAAGGTGCTGGAGTCTTCCTGGAAGGGGGGTCAGGCTGCAGAGGGGACCTGGCTGTGAATAGGGAACTTCACAGAGCACTGACTGGTGGCTGATGCTCAGCTGCCCCCACGTGTTTTAGTCTCCCAGCACATGTGAAGTGTGTTGAGTGTGATGGAGGAGGGGACCTTGGAGGGTGTCTGTTTTTTGGCACGTGCAGCATTGGAACATTTCATTTTTCAGCCATTACACTGAATTAGTGTCTATTTTTTGTGGCTAATTGCTGCTTCTTTCTTGATTTGCAAGACATAAAATGCCATAATGTGATGACCTTCCAGATGGGCAGCTGGGAGTTGATCTTGAGGTCAACTTTCAGCCAGGCCAGCTTGTTGGAGACCCAGTGAAACTCAGCAGTCCTGAGGGAATGAACCATGTTCCCCACTGATGGGCTGCAGGGATTTGGGTTTGAGGTGCCATGGGCAAGGGGGGTTATGTGCCCTGTGTCCTGCCCTGCTCCTTTGGGGCAGCAGGAAGGCAGCTGCACGGTGCTGTAGCAGGCTTGTAGCGTGGTGGGGATGAGCAGTCAGAGAGCAGGTAGGGCAGAATCACTGCAGGTTTTGGGTACACCTTATCAAGGGGGTGAGGAGAGGCAGAGCTGGCAGGAGAAGGAGCACCCAGCATCACCTGAAGGCATCCCAATTAAGCAGCATTACTATCCCCATTAAGCAGCAGTCGTTGCTGGTAAGTATCTTTGGACTTAAATCTTAATTCCTTGGGAGATGTCCCAATTAAGTGGATCTTGTGATTAAACACTTCCTGATTAAGTGGAGTGTACTTAACTCATTCAAATTAATAACTCATCTGAAAGAAATCAAGTTACACACAGATGGAATCTTTTTTTGCTCTCATTTGGGGATTGAGTGCACGTAACAATTCCAGTTAAGTATCTGGTAAGTGATATTTTTCCTAATGCGTCTCTCGAAGTGGAAATGTTTTAGGCAATTGGGTTTTTTGGGTTTTTGGTTTTTTTTTTGTCTTTTTTTCCCCTAATGTCTCAAATTGTCCTGTGTATCAATAATGAAATATTGATGCTCATATCTAACGTTAAGGAACCAGCAGTTTGATATTACATTGACGTGCAACAGAAAGTACTGATAGGCTCAGCACTGCATACGAGATGAGGTAGAGAATTAATGCATTGGCAGTTGTCTTTGCTGGAACTGGTTAGAAGCCAACTAAAATCTGCCTAAAAGGGTTCGACAACATTAAATTGCCCAACTTGGCACCAAAGCCTTCCCAGAAGATGTGTAGTATCAATGACATGCCTAATATTTATAGTGCCATCAGTATGTGTGTTTGCAACTTTTAAGTTTTGCGCTATATTTTTTTCTCATTTCTATAATAAAAATTTGTAATGAAGTTTGGTTGCACATCTAAATTTTTGCTACTTGAAGTGAAGGTAAAGGAAGGTCCAGCGACAGCCCCAGTGCAGCAATTCACAGGCTGCAGTGATCAGACCAAAGATCATTTTTCTGAACAGATTGAAAAATGTCCCCTTTTTAGCAAAATCTGTTGTGCTGGAGGACTGTGTGTCTTACTCCCTAATCTGCATTCCCTTGGGGTTAAAATATATCTGTAAATGAAAAAAAATAACAAAATCATATGGATCTTATTCTGGTCTCTGATACTGTAAAGCGAGAATGATGATGATGGGGATGGTTTTATAAGCACTGTGAGAGGCACGTATGGAAAAGGAGTCCAATATATTTCATGTCTGCTACTCAAGGCACGTTTCTCTCTGAAGAAAACCAGTTCTCCAAGAGTTTGGAAAACCAAAGAGGGAGAGCAGGAGGCTGTGCTTGAAGGAAATAAGTCCAGAGTTCTATACTGGAATGTGCTTGATTTTGTTACATTGCCAGAACTTAAACAAGCTGCATTGCTCCGTGTTTCTGAGCTGTTCTGCTCTTTATTGACAATTACAATAAAAAATAAAGCTGATATTTAAATCCTTCCTGATTAGTGCAAACAGAAATGTTTGGGGAAAATCTGAATTAGTTCCACTTCGTAACAGAGTAAATAGAGGATTTCAGCCTTCATTTAAAACAAAAGGTAGATCTCATACCCAGAATCCAGTCTGTCTCAAAAAATTATTTCCTTGGAAGTCTAAATTGGGATGCCAATGAAGTTTCAGAACAAAACGGGTATTTTTATACTTTGTTCATTTCATATTTATCACTAGCTTGTTTGCTAATTTTCATTTGCAAGAGGCAATTCTTCCAGCTAACTGGCTGCCTCAATGGGCCACTGATTTCTTTGAAGTGACAGTCTGTAAATATGCATAAAAAAGAGATGCAATTAGCGTGTGTGTGGTTCAGTGCAGCCTGATTTCATTGGCAAGTTTACCCACAGTGTTGATAAGCTACATTATCTAGAAAATTGGCCGCTGAAAAACAGCACCTCTGATTGCCAGCAAAGGTTCCAGATAACAGGGTGCTGAAGAGAAATATAATTGAGGTTGAATATGTTAACCAAGGTGTCACATGCTCCTTAGAAGCGCTAATTTATCAGCATGTTGGAATTTTTATTAACATTTGGAATGCATTTCTACCACACTAATGAAGTGGAATTGGCAGTTCAGGTTTTAGTTATTGTCATTTCTGAGAAGTTAAATGTAATTTCTCGTTAGACACAGTTATGTAAATATATTTGTTCAGGGGCTGAAAAATTATACATTTTGCAAAATACAAATATGTTGTTAAGGAGGAGTATGACAAATCAGTCACAGTTAAAGTCATAAAAGCCAGCCAAATGTTCGCCCTGCATTGTGCTTCCTGCAGCATCACTCATTTTTAGGGCACCTGAAAAAAATGAACTTAGCAGAGTTTTAATATGTGGTGGAGTCGCTCATTGATGTAAAAGAGGCAAAACAGGTAAATCATTGTTATTTGTTGGGGTGTTGGTTTAAGGGGGATCGTACTGGTTGTGCTGTGCTTACCTCTGCCTCTCCTTTTTTGTGTGGAAAGGGTCTGGTGCCCAGAAGGGTACTGGCTTTTGTTTCCCTCATTTTTTGACATATGGGAAGTTGGTCTGTTTTCAGTTTCTGGGCTGTACACAAACGCTGTGTGACGTTATGCTGCTGAGTGAGGAGAAGAGAGATTGGTAGAGGGACAACAGTTCACAGGAGCCGTGACAGACCTGACTCAAGACATTTTCGGTTCCAGTACCATGCTCATTTTCTAGAAAAAAATAACAAACTGGTGACCTAAAAGTAAGGGGCTTCTGCTATTAGCTAAGCAGATAGTACGTGTGTATTTACTTTAAAGGGAACCTCTAAGTTGCATTGACAGAAAAAGAAGCATTATGAAGTTTGCATCATGACTTTCAGCAGAGGCAGAGCAGGTCCCATGTGCTCATCTCATCTCCTTTGTGTAATTCCACGGTTTTCCTTCTGAATTACTGTCTCAAACACGTATAAGTGCTGCCTTTTCTTATTCCTAAACTCGTCATGTGTGTGCTCGTTGCAGGGGCATCGTGGACACTCCGCTCATCCGCTCCAAGGAGCTGCGGCCGCTGGTGCAGCGCTGGATGGGCGACATTCCCGCCGGGAGGCTGGCTCAGACCACCGACCTGCAGGCTGCTGTCGTCTACCTGGCCTCTGAAGCCTCTGACTACATGACAGGCCACAATCTGGTCATCGAGGGCGGACAGAGCCTGTGGTGAGGGGCATCCTCCAGCCTCCCCTCTCAGAGACACACAGGTCACTTTGGAGAGTGCGTATTAGAGTTTAGCTTAGTCCCGGCTTTGGCTTGTGTGACTAAGTAGCCAGCTAATATGAAATTATTGTTTTCTTCTTTTGGGTGTTAATTTGGAGACTTGTATAATGCAGAGGAAAAAAAAAAGGCAATCTTTCAGTTCCAACATTTTCATGTTTTTCACTATGCAGTCACATTTCTGTTAAATTAGTATTTAATGATATAAAGGCACATTTACTGGAGTGAGATTTGGCTATTATTTAGTTTAACAGGGGGCATTTTTAAAGCAATCAATATTAGCTGTTCTGTGCAGTTTATTGTTCTTAGGCAATTTTTTTAGTATTCAAGTTGTTCCAGTGACATCTGTGCGTGGTGAAAAACAGTTGGATGTAGTGTTAAAAAAAATAAATTAGTTCATTACATTTGAACCTGAACATTGCCATTTTATATTTACTGGTGTTCTTTAATTTTTGACAGTGTTTTTATACAAACACCCACATAAATGCCCCTGAAAAAGCTGTACTGCACTTAATAGAGAATCACGGTCAGTAATTATAATGGCTGTAATCCAAAGCCCATTGAGGTAAGTGGGGACTGCTCATATACTTCAAGTTAAATGCATGTTTAAGTGTTAATACAACTGGGTCTTTGTTTTCCTTGATAGGCAGATGTAAGCAAAGGTTGTCTTCTATATAATTTTTTCTCCTCCTGTAAAATTCTGAAGACAACTCTTGGGTGTAAATCAAGGCCAGCTCAAGTGATATTGATACAGTTGTGTTGGCCAAAGACCTCATTTGGGTGATAGTGTTGGGTTCATTGCTTATAGGCAATAAAATGTGGCAAAAACAACCTCACCATTTTGATATCACTCTGGATATACACAGACTTCCATCCTGAGGGCCCTTAAGCATAACCTATGGAGAATTTACAGGAAGAAATTCACTTGCAAATCCTCGTGTCATTTGTTTTGCATTTGGCAGCTCTTTGTTACCATAACATAAATAATTGTGGATGGATGTCATTACTTTGATTAAGTGCTACAAGCCCATGCATTGGCTGGCCATTATTGTGGTGAATTGCTATAATGGCTTCAGACTTGACATTCAGTGCCACGTTGTAAGGTATGCGCCTCGCTGACGTACTATCATCGTTATCGTGGATAAAGTGCAAGAAGATACTTGTCTTCATTAAATTTTCTATTAGACCATTGATAATTAATACATATCTCATGTTTCATCTCGAGTCGTTTTTTCTGGGGAGTGTTGCTGTTAAGCGACTCAGGGCTAGAGCTTTTTGGCTTGAAATCCTTGCCTTGTGTGCATGATCTAATTTATTGACAGTGCTCTGCAAGCTCACAGGCTTAAGGAGAGCTCGATTTTGGATAAGTCTTCAAGAAAAACAATTAAGGGATTTAAACATTTTATTATTTTTCTGGGCTCACAAAACCTTTTCTCTCCTAGCTCCCACACTTGCATCATTTTGTGTCATGCTCTGGAGGGCTCGGTGGAGTTCTCACATCCCTCTGGCTGGCTTTTCACCCAGAGGTTAATGTGCAAACATTGGTGAACTCATCAGGAGCTCTTCCAAGGGATCCTAGAGGGGCTTGTATACTATTGCTTGGACTGCTGGTGAACAGTTTGTTGCAACTCCTACCTAAAGTGTAAAATAATGAACTTTAGTTAATTTGAAACACAAACTGCAGTTGGCACTGGAACTGTGACCAGTGTTTTCACTTTCTCAGTAGAAAGACAAAGGGCTGAACAGACTGCTGGGGCTGAACAGACTACTGAGGTTGAACTTCCATTCCCTGCCTGGAGATGGTTGCAGTTCAGCACCAAAAGGCACTGGCAGGGCACTGCACAAAGCTCAAGTTCATTACTCTGCTGCCGACTGGTTTTGAGAAGAAGCCTTTCAGCCAGCAAGGGTCGGGCTGTGACTTTCACAAGCTTCAAGCTAAAAACAAAACCCAGACAGAAAAAAACCACATAGACTTAAAAAAACCAACCCCATATATCAAAATAATCTCCCAAGTAAGCAGCCTCTGGTATTTGGACTAGAGCTTGTCTCACCCCATTCTGTTTGCCCCCAGGCTCTGCCTTTGAAGGGCTGAGCGGGCAGAGCAGAGGAGTGAGTTTACCTGCACAGGCTGATGTGTGGCTTGGACCCTGTTTGAAGACATTGCCATGTGCCCTTGTGGGCCCTGGCTCTGCCCCATGCTGGCCCAGAGAGGCTGATGGAAGGGGCCGTCTCTCACTTCATTACACAGGAGGGGCTCAGGACTAAGCAGCCCAAGGGAATAGAGCACTCTGTGCCAAGTCCCTGGGATGATGGGCTGATACCCCCTCCAGCTCTTTTGGCATTCATGGCACCCTCACTTTGGCAAAAGAGACAGATCCTGGAGGAGAGCAGGTATCAGGAGGTAAGTGTCTCTCCCCCTGCATGTATGAGCTGGCCTGTCTCCTCCTAAGGACCCACTTTCATCTGTCTCCTCCACACGCCTGTTGAATCATAAAAGGGTTTGGGCTGGAAGAGACCTTAAAGATAATATAGTTCTAACCCCCCTGCCATGGGCAGGGATGCCTTCCCCTACACCAGGTTACTCAAAGCCCCATCCATCCTGGCCTTGAAGCCAGGGCTTCATCCACCTAGGAGCTCCAGCAATGGCACTGTGGCTCCTCATGGTCTCCAATGTAATTTCCTAAGGGAAATGACTGATTTCCACTCAAGGGCAGGGCTGTGCCCATGCACTGGTGCTTCTGTCTGATAAGGACCAAACTTGGCATTTGGGTTGGGATCTCTGAGGTGGCTATTCCCTGGGTGTGTGAGTCCCTGCCTTGTGCAGAGAGAGAGGCTCATTGCTACAGCCGTGGAGTCTCTTCTGGAGACACTGCCCTAAAGCAAGTGGAAGACACAATTTCCATTTATAAGGGAAAAGCAAAGCTCCCAGATTTATATGTATCAATGTGTGTAATTATCTGAAGGGAGGGTGTCAGAGGACGGACCAGGTTCTTCTTTGATAGTGCCAAGCAACAGGACAAGAGGCGACGGGCAGTAACTGATGCATAGGAAATTCCACCTGAACACGGGGAAGAACTTCTGTACTTTGCAGTGACTGAGCACTGGAACAGAGACCAGAGAGGGAGTGGAGTCTCTCACTGGGGGTATTCCAGAACCATCTGGATACAATCCTGTGCCATGTGCTCTGGGATGACCCTGCTTGAGCGAGGAGCTTAGACCAGAAGACCAGAAGGCTGTGGTCCCTTCCAACCAGAACCACTCTGTGATTTTGTGAAGCAGGAGGTGAGAAAAGCCTTTTCCCCTCTTAGCACTGAAGACCCTGAGAAAAGAAAAGGAAACATTGTGGAAAAAAATAAAAAAGAAATTTTTTTGCCGGGGGTGGGGAGAGAAATATCTGGGTGGAAAAAAATCACCTTTCTGGGGAATGCAGGTGAAGCTGCGAACTGGCAGCATCTGTGATGAGCGAGGTCGTTCAGGGCAGCATCGTGCCCTCTGTCCCGGCGGTGCGGGGGGATGCGGTGCCGGGCGGGCGGAGGCGCCGTTCCCGGCGGTACCTCTAGGAGGAAACCTCAACCTGTGTTGTGTCTGCGGGAGACGGGCTCCCCGGCTCTGCTATTCAACTTTCATACTGCAGCGAAGTTAGTACTTTTGATATTTCTAAGGTTTTTTTTCTTTTTCTTTTTCTTTTTTTTTTTTTTAAACATTTATGTAGAACACCACATAATTGCAGAAAAGATAATAGTCACATACCCTAGGGCTTGGTGTACACTTATGTTAAAAGTACAGCTTTTATTGGCAACTAAAGTAATAACCTTTCCATGTCAAATTGCTTTAAATTAAACTTAAAAAAAAAAAAATGCTGGCTGATACCCACACTTAGTAATTGTCAAACATTAGCATAATGTGGAATACTAAAGCTGCTTAAATCTTGGGTTTAAAAATAATTATTTACTTAGGTAAATTCTCTATTCAAAAGCATAATATTAGATTTTTTTTTTTTTTTTGACACAGTCTCCTCGATATATATGTTAAAATGCAGACCTGAGCCTGACATGGAAGTAGGGCTGAATGTTACTGTGGACTCTGAGAGAAAAAGGGGGACTTTACACCTTTAGCTCATCCTTAAATCATTGGTCACCCTAAAATAAGTATTTTAGGGTGTCACCTCTGAAGGCAGAGGTGCTGTGGGTGACATCGTGTGACCCAAGGACAGTGACCTGCAGTACCTGCTGATTGTACCCTGTCCTGCAGCCCTGGAGTGCGCACATAATGCTTCTTGTGTTGGAAGACATCTGGGAGACGGGAGTCTCAGGTATGTGGGTGTGCAAGGCCAAGGGCAGCTGGTCAGTGAAGTGTTTCATACAGGTACATTTCACATTTCTGTTTCAGCACAGAACTGGAGCACACGTGGTGGGAACCATTTAAATTTCCAGCACGAAGCAGGAGAGGAAATAATGCACTGTGAGATGTGGCTGCACGTGAAGGAAACTGGACCTACCAGGTACTGTGAGGACACAAGTCCTCGTGGTTTTCTGCTTTCAGAGAGGCCCAGGCTCTGATATGTCCAGCTTGAGGACTCCCTCTCCTTCCCAGGGCTTCCCTGTGAAGTCCACCACAGCACTGAGTCTAACAGTTCTTCCTCTGAAACTCACCAACATTTTATTGGAAGTTCAGCCAAACCTATTTTGGCACATTTTCTTCAAGAAATCAGCGGTACCCTTTTTAGGGCAAAAGGTATTTTGTCAAATTCCTGCAAGTTAGAAAGGGATTTGCTTTCCCCCTCCTTTAGGGACAAGAAGCTCTAGGAGGCTCTTGTTGCATGTCCAGCAACTTTCTGGAGGAAAAAAATGGAGTGGTAGTGCCTGGTAACAAGAAAGTTATGAACTTCAAGAGACAGAGTTTAACAGTTGTTGGGAGGGAAAACACAAGGAGCTGAGGAAAACTTTGTAACTTTCCCAACCTACCTAATATCATATGTGTTTTAGACTGTTTAGACTGTAATTATTGATCTGATTGTATGTTAATTTCCACACTATTTCAATTCTTTACAACAGGGAAGTAAAGTAGATGCTCTTCCTTGGAGAGCCCCGGTGCAGTCCTACAACATATGCCTTCTCACCACAACAGGTTGGAATTCTTCAAAGTTCTTGAACCGCAGTGAGTGTGTGTTTGCTGCTGGATTCTCACCTATCTGCTGCCTTTTCTCCATTCAGCACCTCTTTCCTCTTTCTGTAGCTCTCTCTTTTCCCCACCTGTCCTACCTGACCTCTTTTCCCTGCTCTGCTGCCCGTGCTGCCGCCGTCACCCCACTGTACTTAAGCAAACGAAGAAGACTGGAGAGGGACCAAGCAGAGTGCAGGTTACTCAGAAATACCTCTCAATGCCAAGGCCTGGATTTAACCTTCATTTACTTGCATTTGGGGCCCCAAATGACTCCACTGCAATCCATGAAGCTTCTGGCAGCAGGACTTCATCGGCCGTGGCAAACGCAGGAAGGCTCTTGTCAGCAGGTGAGTACAAGTAACTCCCACCTCAGTCCCCTCCCATTTGAATACATAGCCATATTCTTGAATATATTCTGGGCATGGGGACAATATTCCCTCCTCTGGAAGACGTCCTTCAGGACACAACCCCACTCTGCAGCTGCAAGTGCTCTCTGCCATGCCCTATCTGCTCCCCTCTCACCAGCACAGCATGCTGTGTAAAGACACACTTTGTGTCTTTAGGAAGCCTCATTAATTCACAAGATACATATTTTTTTTTTTTCTCGACAG